AATAAATTGCATCTTCGTAAGTGTAATTGTTCCGTTCCATCCATCTGGTTGAAAATGTATGCATGAAAGCATCAGCCATGGCCAAACAAGAATGCTTTCATTTCAGTGCAAAGGGGAGACAAGGGAATTGTGTGAAAGTTCAGCACGTTGCACAGTTTCGGAAAGCAAAACAACTCAAATATAAGCTTGTAATATCTTTCATTTTGATGTAACCTGTCTCACAGGACACCAAAAAATCTCCAAAGCCTCATCGAGCCTCCTTTAAAGAAGAAAGAAGCGTAAGACGAGGGGAAAAAACAACGCATAGCTTCAGGTTCTTTCACGGTTACTCATTGTCATGTTGAATATTCATGTAGCCGTGGCCAGGAATGCAGCGGCGGGCTCTGGGGGCAGGAAGGCCGGAGGTAAAGAAAGGCTTTAGGTCTGCAGCTCTCTCCATTCTGACTGCGCTCAAAGCAGTGAAGGTCACGGAGGAACTGTGCGAGCCCTCGGAGAGAAGGAAGGAAGCACAAGGTGAGTCATTATGAATCAGTGGAGTTAATGTCAGCCTTGCTCACAGTGGGAGCTCAGCACACAGCGCTTTATGCTTTATGATTTGCTTTTATGACTTTTCTTATGACTTCTTCTCATTAGGAGTGGAGGGAGGTAAGATGAGTCAAGGCTCCATGTAGATCAAGAAGAATTTATCTTGTCATTTTATCCATAATCAGTTGTGTGCAAAAGTTTGGCCGCCTCTGGTCAAATGACATGTTTTGTTGGTTTTCTAAGTGAAAATAAGTTTACTGAATTTAACTTATTTGACATGTTTAAGTTGGTTCCCTGTAGCGTTAGCATATTTTCACTTCAAATCAACCAAACGAGTAGTTTGACCAGGTGTGACATCCAAACTATTGTTGGTTTTCTAAGAGAAAATATGTTAATACATTCTCTGCAGAGAACACACTTAAAAAAATTTAAATATAGAGTAGTATTTTTCTGCAAATTTTGTTGCAAAATTTCACATTTCTATCTTTTATTAGTTTAACATTGTGGGGTAAATACAAAATGCACCATTATTTATTTGTACTGGGCCCTATAAGATACACTGACCTGCATTAAAATTAAATAAATATTTTTTCCTTAAAAGTTACCTGGAGGTACAAGGTTTTGGTCTGACAGTGATGATATAAGGACCACAGAGTGAAAACGACCAATGCCATTTCTTATTTTTACCTCCACCCTTGTTGTCAAGTGTAACCTTGTCCCTTGGAACTGAGTTACGAGAGGTAGTGGTTGAAATCTTCCCTATGAAATGGAACAACCCTCATATAAAAAACAACATTACTTCATTAACAGGCTACTAGCGCTGCTCTGTAGGTGACCCTGCCAGCCTTGCTTACATTACATTTAGGGCATCATATGCTGAAGTCAGCTATTCGCCAGCTTCTTGTTCAAGTTTTCTTTTTCCACCTTAAATGGTGCAGCAGTTATGATCTGGCACTTCGGGTGTCAATGCTGCTGGACTATTTAAGGTGGAACAGGAAATTTAGCTAGCTAGCTACTGAGACATCAGCTACAACTAGCAATTTCTAATGCTTGTTTGGAATAAAAGGACCAAAATACATTAAAACTACATTAAACTTAATACAATACAAGTTAATACAATGGTTATCGTAATTTTTTTAACAGAGAAAATACTCATAATTATGTTTTTGTAAACTTGTGCAGCTATCTTTCCGTTTTTTCTTTTTTTCTAATAACATTCTGTAGTGTGTCTCTGATAAACCTCCGTTTGGAGGGCCATGTAGCCCTAACACTTTACCATACCCCTCTATCTCAATAAGAATCAGGACAGCCTACCCCTAGGTGTCAATGCGCAAAAAAAGAGGGGTAAGGGGTGAAATGGTATTGGGCCATAGACTACACATTTAACAAGACTTTGCAATACATTACACTGAATACAGAACCAATTGAATTCACCAATAAATGATTTTAATGCTTAAAAAGGCCACTTTACCTGATTTCCCTGATAACTTTTCACAAAGGTGAAGACCGGAGAGCTGTCAGAGAGCATCTGAAGTGCTATTATCTCCAAACACAAGAATGGTAAAGGGTGCAAGGTCATCAAAGTCCTTGACATCCCTGTATCAACAGTGAGTAATGTAATTAAGAAGTTTATTGCTCATTGAACTGTCAAGAAACCATCTAGAACATGGGTTAAAGAGGAAAATCAGTGAGAAAAGTCTTCGAAGGTTGGTGTGAACAGTGGAAAAAACACAACATGTAACATCCAGAGCTAAAGGCAGACCTGGAGCAATCTGGAGTGATGGTTTCCACCCGTACCACATGCCGAACACTTGGACTTCCCGGGTGAAGGCCAAGTTAGACTCCAGTGCTGAAAGAAAGACATAAGGCACGACTTATCTTTGCCAAAATGTACCTGGACAAACCACAATCCTCTTGAGCAAATGTTTTGTGGACAGATAAAAACAAAAATAGGGCTCCTTGGAAAAACAGACCAGCCATTTGTTTATAGGAAACGAAATGAAGCTTATAAGTGAAAGAACACACTACCTACAGTCAAATGTGGTGGTGGATCCAAAATGTTGTGGGGCAGGCTTTGCTGCCTCAGGTACTGTGGCCTCAACCTCCAGTTGAAGGAAAAATGAAATTAGAAGATTATGAAGGCATTTCAGAGTGAAATGTGCAGCCTAGTGTAAGGAAGCCAGGTTCGGGTCAAAGATCATGAGGCCTCCATTATGATAAATACTCCATTATAATAAGATAAAGTGGACTGTTTTGAACTGGCCACCAATGAGTCCTGATCTTAACCCCATTGAAAATCTCTGGAGATCTGCTATAGGGAAGAAACACCCTGCAAACATCCAAGAGCTTGAAAGGTTTGCAGTGTAGGAGTGGGAAAAACCACCAGCAGAGCAGTGCAAGAAGCTTGTGATTGGCTACCAAAGATGTTTGAAGGCTGCCATTGCTGCTAAAGAGTGTGCAACAACATATTAGGAAAGGGTGCCGTTAATACTGTCCATGTCATATTTTGTTTCTTTTCTTTAAAGTCACTTCCTACAGGTTGAAAAACATGTTTTTTGTTCAATATCTTTAGACATTCATTAAAATATTCTAATGATAAAAAGTTGGTGTATTTCCATATATATGTAAATTTTATATGAAAAAGAGAAGGGTGCAGATAATAGTGGCCCGAACTGTAAACAGTTGTTTACTTGCAGGATCTAAGGGGCTATTATAAAGAGAAAACTCAGTTTTTTTTGTTTTGCTAAAAGCATATATTATTCTCTGAGTACACTTCTATTGTAACCAGTCAAGTGCCCACTGACTGTACAAAGCCTGATTGAATAATAGTGATTTTCTTACTGAAAAATAATAATAATGTGAAGTAGTATTAAACAATTTCAAGTAATATAAAAAAAGGAGTGAGGGGGTTGGACATGGGGAGGGTCTTAAAAGAGAATAGCACCAGTTTTAAATGATTTCTGCATAATGAAATGGATCAGAACAGAATTAAACACCCATTCAGAGTGGTGTGCTGTGAAACGCTCCATTCTAGAGAAGCCGAGTCAGAATTGTTCACAGCAGTGGAGATGGGACAGAGACATATGAGGAGTTTAATGGCTCTAAAAGCTACATAAAGGTAGAATAGAAAATGGATTAGCCATTATGAATATACCGCCTGAGGCCTGATGTGTTGTTTGGTGATAGTTTTAGACACTGTGACTCCGGTTCCTATCACCACCACTGTAAAGAAATCAGTCAGTAAGTTTCTTTGCAGTGAACTGTTTCACATTGAGCAACTCGGAGTGATTTTCTTTACATTATGCAGAAAAATTGGTGGTATTTCATCTTAAATCTATGTATTTAACTGTTTAACTGTTATTTCTGTATCTTTTAAACATAGACACAAATGAATATACAGTTGAAAAATATACAAAAGGTTGTGACGCTGTGCTAAATTAAAAACAGTATCCAATGATGTGCAAATCACTTAAACCCTGTATTTAATTGGAAATAGTACACAGACAACATATCAAATGTTGAAACTGAGAAATGTTATTGTTTTTGAAAAATATATGCCCATTTTGTATTTGATGCCAGCAACACTTTTCAAAAAAAGTTGGGACAGGGGCATGTTTACCACTGTGTTTCATCACTCCTTTATTTAACAGCACTCTGTAAGAGTTTGGGAACCGAGACCAACTGCTGTAGTTCTGCAAGTGTCTTTAGATGTGAGACGGTGTCAGACTCTGGTCTTTTCAATGTATCCTAGTGCACATGTGTCAGGCTCCAGTCCTCATGGGCCAAAACACTGCAGACTTCAGCACCCTGCCTTATTAAACACACCTGAGTCAGCTCATCAGCTAATTAGCAACCTTCATAGTACCTTCATGAACTGAATTCAGAGCGTTAGATGAGGTTAAACACTAATCTCCACAGCAGTGTGGCCTGAAAGGTCCCCAGTTTGACACGCCTGTTCTAGTGTATGGTTGCATAAGGCAATGGTCACCAACCCTCTCCTGGAGAGCAAGTTTCCTGTACAGCTTAGTTCTATCCTGCATCTAACATGCTGCCCCCTCCCCAGACCTACATCAATGCACCTGATCCAGCCAATCAGGGACTGTAGAAGGGGATTAGCTGGAGCAGGTGTGGCAGATCGGGGTCAGAACTAGATTCTGCAGGAAGGCAGACCTCCAGGACTAGGGTTGGTGACCACTGGCCTAAGACCATTGCAGTGTGTCATATTAAAACTTAAGGTTTTCCCTGCTCCCGACACACCTGATCCAGCTTTTCAGCTCATTGGCAGCCCATTATTGAGTTAAAGTGTCTGTGTTAAGGCAGGAAGAGCATTAAAAAGTGCAGAGCAGTGGGCCTCCAGGACCAGGCTTGAGAAACACTCGACTGTTGCACAGTTTGATTCACATGGGTTAGGAAACGCTTATTCTGCCTCCAGGACGCCAGGGGGCAGTAGCACAACTCACAGTGGGTCTCCAGTGTTGACTATTTCCGTGTGCAGCATATCATTACACAAGGACACAGCAGTAGCTCACCAGTGGGGTTTGGAGCTGAGAGGTAGCGATGGCCCGGCTGCTCAGGAGTAGTTTACGGGGATATTATATGACCCAAATCCGCATGAGCTCTGATCAGGTACTGCACTGATATTTCTGGCCTTTTCCTTCCATTCAGTGCTCTGTTCTGTAGTTTGCTCGCTTCTGACGCAGCTCTGCTGTAACGTTAATGGTTGCTGCTCTTGGGTTTGCCTAACTGGGCCTTGTTGTCCTGCTGCGTTCAGCGTAGAGGCTCGTTTCTCCTGTGCTGTGCTGCCTGTGCTCCTTTACCCCAGGGCTGTGTTCTTCACCGTGCAGCGAAATCTCGCTTTTCATTCCCGTGGAGGAGAAAAGAGAGAGTGCAGCGTGACGAGGGTGAAGTCAGCATCTCATTCGAAAATTCCCGTTCCACCTTAAATGGTGCGGCAGTTCCGTTCTGGCGCCTCGGGCCTCAGACTGTTACTGCTGCGCCATTTAAGGTGGAACGGGAATATTCGATTAAGAAGCTGACTAAGGCTTCGTCGCAGCATGGCTACTAGTCGGTTGGTCTGCTTGTCAGCTCAGCTAGGCTAAAGTTCAGCTGGGAGCGAGTGGGCTGGGCAGGTTCTGTTTGCCATCAGTAATTAATCAGTCTAAATCCTTTAATTGGAGAAGGTTCGTTAGCTGAGGCTCCATAGAGCAGCATTTCATAACTATAACCAGCTTTTTGTAATATCAAGGTCAAAGTGCCTAGTGCACTGCAGAGTCACACAATGTAAAGAGCAACAGGTGTGTGTATGTGTATATATGTATGTGTATGTATGTGTGTGTATGTATGTGTGTGTATATATATGTGTGTATGTATGTATGTATGTGTGTGTGTGTGTATGTATATGTGTGTGTATGTATATGTGTGTGTGTATATATATATATATATATATATATATATATATATATATAATATATATATATATATATATATATATCATAATACAAAGATAAATAACTTGTTATCCCAAAATAACAATTCAGAATATTATACCTACTTCATGGCCTCTCTGTACATCTGTACATTAAAGATGTGTTACATGGATTGAAGGTCAACACCCCACACACACTCTGAGCATATCGTGGATTTAGGATCAGAACCTAAAGATTGCTGACTGACTTCATGTTTCATTGAAAGCGTAATTGGCCTGATTAATTAGTTGTGGTGCAGTATGAATGTTAAATAAATCCTTTGTACTCACTGTGTTTTTACTTGTGGTGTCACGTTTTTGTCTGTTTTGACTCATCAAACTGCAGAAAAACTTTGATAAAATAAAATCTTGATGGTATGTTTTTTTTTTTTTTCTCACCCAACCCTGTTCTTTATTCTCTCTCTCTCTCTCTCTTCTCTCTCTCTCTCTCTCTCTCTCTCCATTTATCTCTCGCTCTATCTTCTCTCTCTAGCTTGGAGAGTTGGGGAAAGGTGCTGGCAAAGGCGGTGGAGGAGGAGGGTCCATAAGAGAAGCAGGAGGGGCTTTTGGGAAGAAAGAGGCCGCTGAAGAAGAGCGGTACTTCAAGTGAGTAATATTTCTCTTGATTACTGTGATACAAGCTAGTTTTAAGAGACACCTGAGGTCTGATGAGGATCTGCAGGCCTGGAGCTATTAAATTACACTGAGCTTAGGTGTCTGTAACATGGAGTGTAGAATGTCTCCACACTACTCACCTCTGTATGTGTACTGGACATTTTTACTGCAAGACTGGCCTTTTGTCAACATCGATTCCTTCTAGGGCGTTTACTGCGCTCCATGCAACGTTACCTCAGCCAGGAAAGATGGTGTTATTCTTTGTCACTGGGTGCTTACTTGATTTCTTGATTTCTTACAGGATCAACTGAGCATGCATACATAGATCTGGACAGTAAGAAAGGATGCTTTAAAGTCTCAGAAGCAAAGAGTTTTATGTTAAGAAGGAAGAATCAGTAAGCTAAGAAAAGTACAGCAGGACTTTGGATCTTTGGTCTGCCCAAAAAGTAATAATGTCTCTGGAACACAAAAACATTGAATAGTAATAGTGAAATCACCTGAAACATGTTAAACCATAGACCAGTTTTACTTTAAACTAAAAGTCAGGTCCTTGGACTATAATGATAGTCACTGCTGATGTTATTTGTTCTGTTTGAGATACCTTTGCCACACTGTTTGTAAATAGTGTTCTTTGCTCTATAAAATGCCTGTTTTTATGTGAATAATTATAAAAGAAAGTTCCAGTTCTGAAGTCTGGCTGATCCACATTAAAAGTGGTCCTAAAATACCCAGTAGCCATTTCTGTATTAACTTTTGATGAAATCCTGTTTATCCAAAAACATCCTTCTGATCATGGAATAATGCTTAACTATGTTGCTTGTCAACCATAACATATTTTTACATAGCTTGGTGGGAGACTTGTCTATTGGCAGTATTTTTATTAATAGATAATTTTTATTTTGCCACTGGTTACATTATACCTAACAACAATCATTGTAAACCCATGAAATTTGTGGCTTGCTGCTTTTCTCATTCTGTTTGAGTACTGTTGATATGAAAAGTCATGAAAACCAGATCTTCTCAAAGTTCTGCTAATGCAACATCTTTGGACGGCTCAACACGCCTGGAGGAGAACACTAACTGCCAATTCTCTAACCTCAGCCCACTATGTCTAGCATCACCCTGAGTGATGTGGAGAGAGGGAGGACCACCCTGCCCACCCAGAGAGAGTGAGGCCAGTTATTGGACCTCCAACCACAAACAACTGTGGCATCACTGTGGATTGAACTCACAAAAGTCTCTCTTTTGCAGTAGCTACAGCTCTTCTGGATGAAATATGGAGTAAAGGGTTACTGTCTCCACTGACACTTTCCTCTGTTTTTCTATTGAAAGTTATGTTGACACCTGCACCAAAAGAAATTCCTTGACGTCTCTAATGTTTCTGATTGTGACCCTGCAGGCAGAAGGAGAAGGAGCAGTTGGCCGCTCTGAAGCAGCACCACAAGGAAGAGATCGAGCATCATAAGAAAGAGATTGAGCGCCTTCAGCGTGAGATCGACCGCCACAAGGGAAAAATCAGAAAACTCAACCATGACGACTGAGCCGTTTCCACCGCGAGCCTCAAGTGTCTCCCTCTGTTTCTGCCAAAACTCACTCCATGCCTGTTCCCAGAAGCAGCTTTCCACACTGTAATCTCTTGTGTTAGACAGAGTCATTAATAAAGATCGTAGGAGTTTTTCAAAGTGGTTGAAGACTTCCTGTGTCTTGACTTTTAATTGTGGTGCTATTAGAGGTGAGCAATAAGTCAGTATTGTTATTGTGATAAATTGGCATGATATATTTATGTTGGTATAGAATAGTTGTCAGTACTTTTAGAACTAATGAGCCCCAACATTTGCAGTGTACAAGTAACTTTTTCAGGGAGAGAGGGAGCTCAGGTATTTGTGTCTGGGTGTGTCCATAACGTTTTAGCATTACATTACAGCATGTCCTTGCATGCTATCCTTTGTGAACAGAATAAGCTTGGAGTTAAAGGGGAATCAGTGGAGTTCCCTTTTAGCTTGAATTAGTCTTTGTGTTATTTTTTCATTTATGCTTTTTTTGTGCGGCATTTACTGTACAATGCTCTCTGTAAATGGCCTCATAACTAACAGAAGCTTTATTTACAATAAGGCGTGGGAACGACAGAGTCACTATTAGGGATGCTTGATAATATCTGAATTATATCAGTAATGGCAGACATACTACATTTGTAACCGAACAGAAATGAATGTTAGATTCTAGATCTGGTCACAACTTTATTTCATAAATGTTTTTGTGTCAATATTGGCAGATAGATACTTGAAAAATATCAGACATTGACAGTTTATCATTGCATCCTTGCTTCATTTTGTGTGTGTGTACATTTTTGACACACATTTCGGAATGTGATTGTCTCTGACTGATGGTTGTCATTACTAAAATAGGCTTTCTCACCTTCTTAGAGAGGCGATGTAAACTGCTCAGTTGTTTTCAAATGTGGTTTCAAAAGCTGAATGCTGATATCACACCTAGTGCACAATGCAACTTTTCACTTTTAATCAGTGTTGATCATTGAGCTGCGTCTGTTTTGAATTCAGTGAAAGTTTCACTACTGAGCTTTCTTTGAAAGACTTGATTCGATTAAGGCAGGGTCTTCACATTGATGTTAACTGAATGACATCAGGTATCATCATCGAGTATTCTTCGCTAAGTTTAGGGGCAACCGCAGGACTTTAAGTGATTCTAAGGGCGCTCAGTGTTAGTGGTAAAGTAACCCACATTCCTCTGCAGTACCTCCAATTGAGCTGACTGTTGTGAGGTTTTGTAGGTCAGTTTAATGTCACAGTGTTATCTGTACGTGGTGCAGCAGGCCTGTATCAGGCAGGACTGGTATGAGAAAAAAATGTGATCTTAAAATATTTTTATTCTTAATTTTAAGCCACCCAAGGTCACTTATTTTTAAGTGCATGCAAAATCTAAAATATTTAAAATATAGTTGTTAATTAGAAATCATCCTAGGTATATAATGCTAAACTACCCCAAGTTGACACTATTACTACTTTATAAATTACATTCTTTCATTTTTATTTTTTTTTTTAACCAATCAAAAATGTTTTGTTTTCCCGGTTTTCAAGAATCACTAAATGACCTGAGAGGGACATTGTAAGAACTTTGGACAGTCATATCGTCACTGTCCAAACAAAAATAAGTATCTCCAAAATGGTGACTTTACAGGAGAGGGCAAAAACATTTTATACTTTGAATGTAAGTAATGTAAAGGGTTTTTATTCAAAGCCATTTTGGAGCAGGAAACTAAAATGTGCAAAAAAATTGAGACCCCTTTTTTTTTGGCGTCGTTCAGTAGTCTGCGTCATGTCCTGTGATGTTCAGGAGAAAATGAACTCACCACATTGAGTTTGAAACATTTTTGCGTACCACAGTAGTGAAAATGCAGTTCATGTTCCCTAAAGAGAAAACCAGCTTAGGCAGAGTTCATAATACAGTTATCACAGCAACTACATAATTACAACATGACTTAAGAGGTTTGTTAGTGTTAGCTGGCCTAGAAAAAAAAAAACAAAAACATATTATAAAAGCTCTTAAAATTATGGTTCATTGTAGAGGAAATTATCATCTCTGATTTCTTTACCGTGATGGTGAAAGGAACCAGGGGTCACAATGTCTCCAACACAAATATCGTCATTGTATTTACTATCCAAAACCACCAGTGGTCTTCTGAGTTTTTATGTAAGGTTGATGATGGAAAAACAGTGATAAATTTGAAATTCAAAGTCTGGACTATTTTACCGTATAATTCCATTCTAGAACCCCTGTGCCATGAATGCTTTAAAAAAAAAAATACATTTAAGGCCAAAATGTTCTCTCATGCACCAGACAGTGTATTAATAACCATTTTGTGCCTTAACTTCCAGTGAAAGAACTTTCACAGACATTAAACTCTTTAGACGTCTGGTTCCTATCACCACCACTGTGAACAATTCTGTAAACTCTGTTAGTTTCTTTAGAGCATTTCGCACCAAACCACTCTGAATGACTTTGTTTATGTCTTAACAATTTAATTATCCAGAAGTGTTGAAAAAAGGTGGAATTCGCTTTAAATTGAGGGTCTACTGCTCAATTTACGATTAGAGTGGCAGTACAATGAGGCCACAGAGCACTGCGACCAAACTTACTGCTACAAACAACAACATTCTTAAATTCACAGTTGTCTTTAGAACCTTCAGAAAAAGAATGGCCAAATAGTCCAGAGCAAATGATAGAGAACATTCTAGAACAGTGTGAATGAGGAGATGACTTTCTCAAACAGTGTGGATGAGGAGACGACATTCTAGAACAGTGTGAATGAGAAGAGGGTATTCTAGAACAGTGTGGATGATAACAGGACATTCTAGAACACTGTGAGAGGGGAGAGGACATTCTAGAACAGACTGGAAGAGGAAAGGAAATTCTCAAATAGTATGAATGAGGGCATTCTAGAACCACGTGAATGAGAAGAGGGTATTCTAGAGCAGTGCGAATGAGGAAAGGAAATTCTTGAACGGTGTGGATGATAAGAGGACATTCTAGAACAGTGTGAAAGGAGAACTGACATTCTAGAACAGTGTGGATGACGAGAGGACATTCCAGAACACTGTGAGATGGGAGAGGACATTCTAGAACAGTGTGAATGAGGAAAGGAAATTCTTGAACAGTATAAATGAGGGCATTCTAGAACCATATGAATGAGAAGAGGGTTTTCTAGAGCAGTGTGAAAGGAGAGGTGACATTCTAGAACAGTGTGGATGAGGAGAGGACATTCCAGAACACTGTGAGAGGAAAGAGGACATTCTAGAACAGTGTGGATGATAGGACATTCTAGAACAATGTGAAAGAAGAGAGGACATTCCAGAACAGTGTGGATGATAAGAGGGCATTCTAGAACAATGTGAATGAAGAGAGGACATTCTAGAACGGTGTACTTGAGGACATAACATTCTAGAACAGTGTGGATATGGAAAGGATATTCTAGAACAGTGTGGATATGGAAAGGATATTCCAGAACAGTGTAAAAGGGGAGAGGACATTCTAGAACAGTGTGAATGTGGATATTCCAGAATGGACTGTGACCATTAGATTCTCCCAAAATCTACCAACAGTTTGTACATTGCAAGTGTTTGCTTGTCGATCTCCATTTTCAGAAAGACGTGGTTAGTATTCTACACCGTGATCTACTTTAAGCTCGTTGAGGTCCGGCGAGTGGCGATCTAGTGTTTTGTTTATATCCTGATCGGACTGTCTGAGCGAGTAGAAAGAAAGATTTGACCCCGACGTGATTTGAACACGCAACCTTCTGATCTGGAGTCAGACGCGCTACCGTTGCGCCACGAGGTCTTGGTCCGGTGTGCGTCATTTCTGCTTTAGTGCTCCGTGAGTCTGACCGCACGGAGCCGCTCTGCCTGAGGCTTCTCTTGTGAATGGACATTGTTTCTGGACGTGATTCTGTTTTGCTGACGGCTCGAGTTGGATGTGTTTGTTCCACATTGTGAGGTGTCCGTTTTTTCCCAATGAGCCAGTGAACGATAACTGCAGTCGACATTAAGCCTTCATGAATGACGGTCTGATGAACTTCAGTGTTGCCTCGGCTGCACCTCACAAGCGCTGTAACGCGCTTAACTCTTAATCATCGCTGTAGTTTGTGAAAATTATGCTATATACACTGTATGGACAAAAGTATTGGGACACCCCTTCTAATTATTGAGTTCAGCTGTTTCAGCCACACTCATTGCTAACAGGTGGATAACATTAAGCACAGTAATGCAGTCTCGATAGACAAACACTGGCAGTAGAATAGGTCGGACTGGAGAGCTCAGTGACTTTAAACATGGCACTGTCTTAAGATGGCACCTCTGCCACAAGTCAGTTTGTGAAATTTCTGTCCTGCTAGATCTGCCCCGGTCAACTGTAAGTGCTATCATTGTGAAATGGAAGTGTCTAGGAGCAACAACAGCTCAGCCACAAGTGCTAGACCATGCGAACTCACAGTGTGGGACTGTCGAGTGCTGAAGCGCACAGCGTCTATCCTCTTGAATCACTCACTAATGTGTTCCAAATTGCCTCTGGAAGCAACATCAGTAAAAGAAATGTGCGGTAGGAGCTTCACAGAATGGATTTTCATGGCCGAGCAGCTACACACAAGCCTAAGATGAAAATACACAATGCCAAGCGTCAAGGTGGGGGTGGTGTAACGCATAAAACATATTCTGTGGAGTGACTAATCACGCTTCTCTGTCTGGCAGTCTGACAGACGAGTCTGGGTTTGGTGAATGTCAGGAGAACATTAGCTGCTTGACTGCACTGTGCCAGCTGTAAAGTTTGGTGGAGGGGGGATAATGCTATGGGGGTGTTTTTCAGGGGTTGGCCTAGAACCCTTAGTTCCAGTGAAGGGAAATCTTAATGCTTCAGCAGACCAAGACATTTTGGACAATTGTATGTTTCTAACTTTGTGGAAATAGTTCGGGGAAGGCCCAGCTCCTTTTCTGCTCCAGCATGACTGAGCCCCAGTGCACAAAGCAAGGTCCATAAAGGCATGACTGTGTGAGTTTGGTGTGGAAGAACTTGACTGGCCTGCACAGAACCCTGACCTCAACCCCATCAAACACCTTTGGGATGAACTAGAACGGAGATTGAGAGCCAGACCCTCTCATTCAACATCAGTGTCTGACCTCACAAATGCTCTTCTGGATAAATGGGCAAAAATTCCCACAGACACACTGCAAAATCTTGTAGAAAGCTTCCCAGAAGAGTAGAAGCTGTTAGAGCCGCAAAGGGGGACCAACTCCACATGAATGCCTATGGATTTAGAATGGGATGTCATAAACTTTCCTGTAGGTGTAATGTATAGGTGTCCCAATACTTTTGTCCATATAGTGTAGCGCCAAAAAGCGTTCTTCTATTGTTATGATGTTAATTCACCTTTTTTAAGGGTGATACCTATCTATCTATCTATCTATCTATCTATCTATCTATCTATCTATTCAAATACAAGACAAACACACTAGATCACAGAAAATATATACTTCAATGTTTTATTCAAAATAAAAAAAACAATATATTATTGGCTCGAAAGAAGACAACACACAGAACATTTGGGAAACTGAAATCTCCAGACGCAGGTTATGCAGATGTTTTTTTCTGTTTGAAAGGTTTTTAGCACATTTGAATGGACCATTCTTGGCTGCATTGTTGTTTAATGGTGATTGGATTGGCCAGGCCCTGTTCACACCTGGCATTAACATGACATTAGGTCTTAGGTGAACAGCACTGACTACAGGTGTGAATGGAGCCCAATGTGTCAGACACATTGTGACCTGATCACTCAAACTACCTTCAGAAGTGGTCAGAGATACATATGACATTTGTTGTGTGAACGCTAAAATTTCCTCATTCCAACCCAAATGAAAAATAAATATATTTCCTTATATTTTTCAAAAGATGTGTCAAATTTGTGATATTTCTTTTTATTCATACAGGGGCAGGTTAGTCCACTGACACCTAGGTCTCGTTTGTAGTGAGTCCCTTTAAAACATACATAAAATACATTAACATAGTAAAGAGAAATAACCTTATCTTTCAGTTCACTTACTTTAGGCAATAAAAACAAATTTTATTCAGGGCGGGGGTGTACACCATTTAAATCAAGAAAATGAATGAATGGCTTTTTTAGTGGGCCTCCATGGGGCATCGCACAGTTGCCTTTACAAACTCTGATATACCACTAATGCAGCATTGCCATGCTAGAGAATAGTATTGCCATTATTTTCACATTACTTCAAGACTTAAGTAGGAAAATGACTGGTGTAATCTTTTAACTTAGCTGGGACTGCATTACTGCTCCACAATCGTTGGATTTTTTAGACAATAATATATTTCTACAAACTAGCCAATAAATGTAGTCTTCAATTCTATTATTATAGTACACTGTTAACTTTAATGTCAATAATACAAAACAGCAATATTGGCTGCTAACATTTGTGTAAATAGTACATGCAAAACAGTACCCTAAGAAAACTTATTTGTTTCACCATCATCATTGTGACATAAAAACACCCAGAAGACATGCCTATGTGTGCTTGTCATTTTGGAAGGTAAATAAAATTGCATATTTGTGGACATTGCAACTTCTTTGTCCTATCAAAACCACTCAAAATGACTTTGTTCACATCACAACCACGTGATGTGTAAACGCATAAAATTCGGTGGAACTGCCCTTTAAAGAATTGGTATTGGTTTCAGGATAACAGCTTCAGTGTCAAGTTGGAAAGAAGGTCAGTGGTGTCAATTCCTTTTTTTAAAATTTAATTTAATTTTATTTAATTTTATTTATTTATTTTTGTATTAATGCAAGTATTTATAATAATTTCAACACATCCCTACAACACACATCACTACTGAGTAAATTAACAGCAGCAAAATAATCTAAAACAGCACATACACAGAGTGAAATAAACTAAAATAAATAAACAGAATAAATAAATAAATAAAACTAAAAAAAATTAAAAAAATCATGTCATATTGATGGCACTCAAGGACATAAGAGTCTGTCTATTTATGTATATATATATATTTTTATGTGTATATACATGACATTAAGGTAAAGGTGATGCAATTATTCATAACACTTTCACAACACACATCACTACAACAGGCATGACTACTACACTGAATGGGTAAAGCAACAGCAGCAAAATAACCTAAATAACACGACGTGAAACACAGTAAGATAAAAACTTAACACACAAATAGAATTAAATAAAACAAAACAATAACGATCACCGGACACCGAGACACATAATAGAGAGTCCTGTTGTTATTATTCGCTGACGCTCCCTCTGACGCAATCAGGTTCGCCGGCGCGCGAGGAAGTGGCGTCGCTGCGTGTGTGTGTGTCTGTGTCTGTTTGTGCGTGTGTGAGTGGATGTGAGCGCGCGCGCGTCTGTCTCGTGGACAGAATCCGCACCAACATTCTAGTTCCATTATTGTAACCGTTGCTTTCTGCGCAGAGAGTCGGAGTCGGAGCCGCGGCCTGCCTGCCTGCCCGCCTGGAGGAGAGAGTCCACCGCGCGAAGAGGAAACAAACGGGGATTTAACGACTCGGTGAGGCTCGGTTTAACCGATCTCCCCCGTTTATTCTTTTTGGCGGGCGGCACGTTTTGAATTCCGGCCCGACGGCTCACGTAGGCCTCGGCTAAAGCTAACACTAGCCACTTTTGCTAGCTTTAGCTTTAGCTTAGCAGCGCAGCGCTCCGTCTCGCTGCGATATTTGGGGGAAAATTAGTTAAACTCCGTCGCTGCTGTGTCGTAAGTGTACGCTTTTAACACAGTGGCGCTCTGGGGGTCTTTAGGGCTGGATAAAGCCGGGCTAAGCCGTTTGGCGGGGGTATTTTGGGTGGGTTTTGCCGGCTGTGTCTGGCGCTGCTGTAACCTCGACACGCGAGACGAGGCTGGAGTCGCCAGCTTCTTGTTCGGATTTTCCCGTTCCACCTTAAATGGTGCAGCAGTTGCATTCTTGCGCCCCTGGCACCAGAACGTAACTGCCGCACAATTTAAGATGGAACGGGTCAGTTTTGCACAAGAAGCTGGCGACTTTAGCCTCGTACACGCGAGGGGGGCGGAACGCCGCTGCTGCTGCCGCGGTGTGTTGGGCTAGGTTAGCATGGCTAACTCACCCACACTGTCTTTGATATCAGCCAGCCAAGTTAGCCGTAGTGGGAGCGCTCGGTTGATCCCGGCGGCGCTGCCTTTGTGTTTGGGATCCGTTTGGAAGGTGTTGCGGGTGTGGGGTGTTTCATTAACGCTCGCTTTCTTTCTTTATTCATCGGTGCCTCAAGACCGCTGGCTTCATTCTAACAATGAACAAAAGCAGGTCATAACTTGGGATGGTTACGGCTCTTTTTATGTTGCACCCGTCTAGTTATGTTTGCGAATGATGATGGATAATAGTATCGATATCATCTGCAAATCTAAGGGTGGGCGATATGGCAAAAATACTGTATCACGATACTTTGTCATTTTCACGATGCACGATACGCATCATGCTTTTTTCCTTTTTTTGAGATTCAGTAAGTTGAAACAGACAAAACAGAACCTGTAGAGATGCTTAAAATAATAATGATAATATTAATAATAATAACTACAACTACAGTGATTCATATTCAATATTGTGCAAACTAAAGTGCTCCAAGTCCAATAAAACATACCTAGTTCTGTTCACTTTGTAATGAAACATGGTGTTCTTTAAGTACTGACAATATCCACAATATGCATAGAAAAGCTTGTCATGATAAAATATCGTCATATTGCCCAGCCCTATGTGCAGTTTTTTCAACATTGTTGCAATGTTACCTCTCAAGATCATGTGTAATTATTTTTTATTGCTTTTCAGTATTATTGCCAATATGACTTTCAGTACCATGTGCAATATTGATTTTCTGGTTTTCTGTTTGAACTTATTTTTTCTAAATTTATCTTATTTTTTTATAGTTATTCTGTTAGGCACTGGTGTTATGTGTATTATTCATATATCTGTTTTTCTGAGCAGCCTTTGGCACAAGAGTTTCTTCTGGGATGAATAAAGTTGAATCGCGTCTTTTTGTTTTTTTTAAACGTGTAGTGTTTTGGTTATCGGCATAACCTTAATGCTATTTTGACTCAAAGCATATTAAACGTTTTCTTGTTTAGGAGTTGGGAACTTTAGTGATGCATTGTAGAATCGATAAAGACTGGACGAAGTGTGGCTTTTCTACTGTATTTGTATAGGTATAACCATTTAGCTCATGTTGTCTTGTCTCTTTCTCAGAACAATGGCTGCTGAGGTGAATGGCAGCTCTGCTCCAGCCAAGGAGGAAGAAGAACCCATGGATGTCTCGGCTGCACACTCTGAGAACTACCAGACCCTCATTGATGCTGGCCTGCCCCAAAAAGTAGCAGAAAGCTTGGACAACATCTTTCAGACTGGTAAGGTTTAAGAAGTGTAAAAAATGTTTATTTGCGTTTATATTATTGATGAGCGGAAGGAAAGACTCTTGATCTCTTAACATGCTTTCCAAGTTATACAGTACATCATTGTTTTGATTCTCCAAACTGGTCAAAGTCTTCTAGAGTCCAAAATGATTAAGCTATTTGGTGGTTTGGTTGTATCTGTCCTGCAGATATTTGACATATACATCTGCAAACATAATTTTTATGGTAGTTAGTTTTTTGTTTTGCAGGCCTAATCTCTTGAAATCCTCCTGGTTTAACATGAGTGTATGTGTTTGTGTGCTGCAGGTTTGGTGGCCTATGCTGACCTAGACGAGAGGGCAATCGATGCTCTGCGGGAGTTTAATGAAGAAGGAGCGCTGTCTGTACTGCAGCAGTTTAAAGAAAGTGACTTGTCCCATGTTCAGGTGAATCCTCCTACATTTTATCGTCTCGACTAAATAGCTTTCATCCTTGTTCTAAATGAATATTAAACTCTCCTTCACTCGGAGCGGATTATCTTTTGTTTTAGTCATGTAGATGTATTCATGTAGTCATATTAGAATTCCTGAAGCATAGTTTTGTCAGCAGCCTGAAAATGTATGTTAAATGTTTGGTTGTTGTCTTGCAGAATAAGAGTGCTTTCCTGTGTGGTGTCATGAAGACATACAGACAGAGAGAAAAGCAAGGCAGCAAAATACAGGAATCCACAAAAGGTCCCGATGAGACAAAGATAAAGGTGAAACATGGGAAATGTTTATAGTTTTATATGGGCATGAACTTTGTTGAACTGCCCTGTGTGTTTTCTCACACTGATCACATCACCTCAATGCACCTTTAGGCGCTGCTGGAGAGGACAGGCTATACCCTGGATGTCACCACAGGCCAGAGGAAATATGGCGGCCCACCCCCAGAGGAGGTGTTCTCTGGCACACAGCCTGGCATTGGAACAGAGGTAACCTGTTCTCACAGTCTGATTCACTATTCACTTTTGATTACAAGCAAATTAAATTCGAGGGAAAAAAAAGTGTGTGATTTGGTTAAGATCCATGAAAAGCTCACATCTTGGTGAAACTTGCTGTCTTGCAAACAGTGCAAAGATCTTAATAGATTCAGAACTTCTTCAGATGTTTGAGTGCCACTGGCACAGCAGTCAGGGCCATCATCATAAAATTTCTAAACTTACTTTGTGTATCTGTAGGTGTTTGTAGGAAAGATTCCTCGGGATTTGTATGAAGATGAGTTGGTTCCACTCTTTGAGAAGGCTGGGCCAATATGGGACCTGAGGTTAATGATGGACCCACTGTCTGGGCAGAACCGTGGCTACGCATTCATTACTTTCTGCAGCAAAGAAGCAGCACAGGAAGCTGTCAAACTGGTGAGTGTGCAATGCAGTTAGTGCCTTACTAACCATACTTAAAGTGCTGTTCTGTATTAGCATGACATCCAAAATCTATAAAGAATCACTTCACCAAAGAGTTATCTTAGCTTTTGCATCAAAATCATGCACCCAAAGTAAACGACCAAGTGTAACATTGTTCTAAAATCGAGCCCCTCTCTAAAGGGGAGTTCAGCCTGTATCTTGTTCACAGTAACAACTTCCAGTGTTTTTTTTGATGCAGTCTAAAACTTTATTTGGTTGATTTCATAGATTTCCTCGTGCTTGGTTGTTGGTAAAACCTTTTTTTGTTCTCTTTCTATCAGTGTGATAATTATGAGATCAGGCCAGGGAAGTATTTGGGCGTCTGCATCTCTGTGGCCAACAACCGCCTGTTTGTCGGCTCAATTCCAAAGAACAAGACCAGGGAGAGCATCCTAGAGGACTTTGGCAAAGTGACAGGTCAGAACCCAGACACCACACGCCATATTCTTTTTTTAAAAAGTGGTCTGCACTTATTTTGAACACATTTATGTGTTCTATTTTGGCCTCAGATACAGCCATAGAGGTGTAAAGCTGTTTTGGTTTAATCTTTGTGTGTGTGCGTGTCTGTTTTCTTGTGCGTTTGGATGCACTCCTTCAGAGGGTCTGCAGGAAGTGATTCTCTACACGCAGGCAGACGATAAGAAGAAGAACCGGGGATTCTGCTTCCTGGAATACGAGGACCACAAGTCAGCAGCTCAGGCCCGCCGGCGGCTCATGAGTGGCAAAGTGAAGGTGTGGGGGAATCCTGTTACTGTGGAATGGGCGGATCCAGTTGCTGAGCCTGATCCTGAAGTCATGGCAAAGGTGCGTTGTTGTGGTTGAAATGATCAAATCTGTCCAATCATCATTTTTTTTTTTTCCCAGTGTTTCCTATAATCTTGAGCTTTCATTGACTATTTCAAGGATTTGATGCACTCTGAGTTGATAACTTCCTTAAATGTAACTCTGTTTTGTCTGTGCAAGAACAGTGCATTTACGTTACAACTATTTTTTTTGTCTGTGAGAATCAGATCTACTTTCGGAAGTGAAGAATTAGGATTTCAAATAGGTTTGGGATTGCTGGATAAATGAGTGAATTGATTGGTATCAAGATTTATTAAAAGGTATTGTTTCAAACTGTGTCTCTCACAGGTCAAGGTGTTGTTTGTTCGTAAACTAGCCACTCCTGTCACAGAGGAGTTGTTGGAGAAGACTTTCTCACAGTTTGGGAAGCTGGAGCGTGTGAAGAAGCTGAAAGACTATGCCTTTGTGCACTTTGAGGAGCGAGATGCTGCTGTTAAGGTATAAAGAAAAGCAAATGAACTATTGGAACATTTAATTATCCTCACTTGGTATGTTGTTTACGCTACTTTAGTTGTGACTTTATTCATTTTATTGTATGTGTTTCTGTTAGGCTATGGAGGAGATGAATGGGAAGGAGCTGGGGGGAGAGGAGATTGAGATCGTCCTGGCCAAGCCTCCAGACAAGAAGAGGAAAGAACGTCAAGCTGCCAGGCAGACCAGCAGAAACGCAGGGTAAGACTTTGTGCACTTCATATTGGATGACTAGAAGAAACACAAGGGCAAGCATCATAAATTTGCTCAGTGCATGCCCCTCAACTTTCTCTGCCGATAGCCAGCAGGATCTCAAATTCTCATAAAATTCTCTCATCTCCTTTTCTCCATCTTTTCTTCCACCTATGCAGGTATGACGACTATTATTACTACCCTCCTCCCCGCATGCCGCCCCCAGGGCGTGGTCGGGGCCGTGGTGGCAGGGGTGGCTATGCTTACCCTCCTGATTACTATGGTTATGAAGAATACTATGATGACTACTACGGCTATGATTATCACGATTACCGTGGCGGCTATGATGACCCCTACTACGGTTACGATGACATGTATTCTATGAGGGGGCGCGGCAGTCGTGGTAGCCGCGGTGCTCCGCCCCCTCCTAGAGCTCGTGGGGTTCCTCCGGCCCGTGGAAGGGGTGGTTACGCACCAAGGGGAGGAGCTCCCATGGGAGCTGGGCGAGGAGGGCGTGGAGGGGGGCGTGGCGGACCCTTCCAGCCACCAAGGGGGCGTGGCACTAGAGGAGCCAGGGGAAACCGCGGCGGAAACGTTGGTGGGAAGAGGAAGGCCGACGTGTTCAACCAGCCAGATTCGAAGCGGCGCCAGACGACCAACCAGCAGAACTGGGGGTCACAGCCTATCGCCCAGCAGCCGTTACAGCAGGGTGGCGACTACTCTGGTAACTACGGTTACAGCAACGACACTCTGGAGTTCTCCCAGGATTCCTATGGCCAGCAGTGGAAGTAGACGACACAAACAACAACAAGGTATTTGGCAACAGTAAGAAAATGACATCACAACAGAACACTCACCCTCCCACTTCCTGTGAAAAAAAGACATTGATTGGCCAGCAGTGTTTTATTGACTTCTATTCTCCATCTCCCTCTATAGAATATGTCAGTGACACAAAAAGGACACGCCCCAGAATTGGCATCACAAATCCCGATTGGCTGAAAGTACGTTTTGGCTGAAGACAAGAATGTATCCGATCCTCCTCCTGCCCCTGATTGGTTTGCTTACACACATGCCTGAGTGGGACATTTTGTCTTAAATCGTACTCCACTTTTATCCCTTCCATTTGTTCTTTGTTTTAAAGCCAGCAATGAACATTTTAAAGAAACAAGGACTTTTGACTTCTAAAACGTAATTAAAAAAGAAAAAGAATACAAGCAAAAAAAAAGGTCTGAGAGAACATTTAAAAAATCATGAAATTTGTCTTGCAGAAAGCTCATGTCCAAACATTCAACCCACCCACCCATTACTGGACTACCCTACCTTCCTACTTTCTCTTCCCTCTCCTCGCTTGCTCTCTCTTTCTCTCTGTGATTTCTGCTAGTGGCATAGGGACTTGCTTGTAAATAATGGCTGTCAGCTTTAGCTTCATTTTCATTTTTTTTCTTTTTTCAGAAGTGGAGAAAAGAATCCACTGGAAGGAAAAAAAAGTTTTGTAGCTGGAAGTACCATTAAAAGTGTATGTTTAGCATTTCTAGAAGTAGTTCAATTGTGTTTTTTAAAAACTGATATAACAACTTCAAACGTTTTTTTTTTTTTTCTTTCCTTTTTGAAATTTGCTCGTTAGGACTTGGTTTGGCTCACCTTAAGAGCCATGACAGTTTGTTCTCTGATGTTTGTATTTATAACTTTTATTTTTTTTGTTTGTTCCGTTTCAATAAAAACTCATCCGAGCAACAAAAATTGGTCAAGTAACTTGAAATTCAGTGTTTGTGATCAAACATTTTGTTGTTTCATTACTTAATCTCAAGCTGTTTTAAGTAAAATTGACTTCAAAGATGGTTTAGAATAAAATTTCTTATGCTGAATAATTTTACCATTTTGACAAATTCCTGTTAAATGTTCCCAAAGTTGGAGAGAAACTGTTTTTTCTCTCTCACTGCATGCAGTATGAAGTAATGTTGGCGCTACATAGCGTACCGAAACGTACATTTTTATCTAAACTCTTCATAAGCAGTTAATTAAAGGAGCATTCAGTGTTATGAAACTGCAATCTGCAGAATTAATTTTGAGCAGAATTCAAAAGTTAGATAGCATATCTTTATTTTTCTCTCACACTGTAAAAACTAGCTGGGTAAAACTGTTTTGTCATTTACAATTTACTAAATAATTTTTGTCCAAAATCCAAGAGTTGAAAGTAATAAGGTCCAAATGATACGACACCAAGTTTAAATAACTTGGGCACTTATTTTGCACCCAATTACAAATCAGCTGCTGTGATGATCTTAAAATCTTGGATCCACAAGAAGTTTCTCCAGACTGAAACGCAGATGGTCTATTTGTACATCATGCTTATCACCATATGTAGCTTTATTTTTAGCTTTTGGGCGTCACAGAACTTTAAACATTTTCTAATGTGAACTGCAGAATTAAATTCATTATTTCTAGGAACAGTGCTCTGAATCTGACTCGCAAAATAACCAATCTTGTTCCTCGTTTGCTCAACAAGCCTTTCAGAGGACTTTCTGAAAAGTTTTTGTCCATTGGAGGAGAAAGCGTGCCAAAAAGAAAGGGGGGGGGATACCTGACCTAACATTTCAGATGTTTTTTTTATGGATATTAGTTAATAAAAACCAATTGAAGATCCAGTCATAAAAGGACAGATACAGTTATACTAGCTTTCTGTGAAGCAGCAGATGCTAATGGTAGCAGGCAATGGACACACAATGATCTGGTAGGTGATTCTGATTTTGGCTCAGTGCATTTCATGTGCACGTTATTAGTGTTGCACTGATACCCCAATACTGTCAGGCGGTGGAGGATTATGATACCATAAAACAGTTTCTGACCTGCTTATGTGCCACTGAGTGATGCTTGCATGCATGCCAGTAGATGGCGTTTAACTAAACTTCTTGAGACACTTAAGGTTTAGTATTAAATGGACATTGCAAAATCTGTAATGCCAGTATTTGGAGGGGTGGCACGAGCAGCGAGGATTCCAGTGCATCAAATTTAATGGAGCGTTTGAAGATAAACCCTGCCAAAGAGCATAACTCTGAATCCAAAGTGAAGTTATCCAACCAGTAAGTCCCATTTATTCAAGCTAAGTATGTTTTATTTGTGACACAGAACACTGATTTTACCAAAATACAATATTTAAAAAGAGGAATTATAAAAATAGCAGGCACGTATTGAGGAGTTAGGTTAGATAGAGTTAGGATCAGTATCGGTCTTAACTAGTAACCCACCGACTAAAGAGCATGTTGCTTTAACGTGATAACTTTTAGAACCAATCTTTCAAGCCGCTGCCATGGAAATGCTAAATGCACTTACTTTTTCCATGGGAAAAAAATAAAAAATAGAAGAGAATGTTGGGCTTTATTCACAAATATCTTTTAAGTTTTTTCTTAAATGTGTTCATGATAAAGATCCTAAGAAAAAGGCCCAATTCCATTTCACCCCTCGCCCTTACCACTCTTTGAAAGCATATGATTCCCTAAATGTAACTAAAGCCCAGCAGTGAGGTTGCTGAACTTTACCCTTTTCTGCTATCACTGCAGACTGGCAGGGTCGCCTACAGAGCAGCGCTAGTAGCCTGTTGATGAAGTAATGTTCTTCTTTATTTGAGGGTCCCATTTCATAGGGGAAGATTTCAACCACTACCGCTTGTAGTCCAACTGCACAGGGCAAAAAGACACTCAAAAACAAGGGGTAGGGTTAAAAATAAGAAATGGGATTGGGTCAAAGTCTACATCAGATTCAGGATGTGTTCCTAAACTGCAGAATTGTTCACAACTAAGAACAAATCCTAAATAAGAAAACATTGGTGAATATCAGTCTTCATAAATACTGTGTAAGTGGGTTTAAAGAAGTAGTGTCTTCAAAAGAACAGTTGGCAAATGAGGCCCATTGTCTGTTTATTTGGCAGCCTCAGTTTAGATGTTTAGTGTCGAACTGAACTGGAGCCGTTACTGGCTTATTAACATATTGTTATAATTGATATTAGCTTATTATGTTTGGAGTTAAAACCAGGGTGATGGTTAGAGCTGTAAATAAAATCACAGCATATAGTTTTTAGTGTTTTAGCTTAGTCAACCAAAAAAGTAGTTTCTGGCTTTTTGGTGCTTTCTGTGTGGTTTCTGTTGGTTTCTCCAACACTTACACCTGCTTAGGGGGAAGTGTAAATGTTGAATAACTACTAAGTTCTTCATTAAGTGTAGTCATCGTGTGGTGCAACCCGATTTGATTTAGTTATGCATTAACCTAATTTGGTAAAAACGTTACAGCCAGCCTGCAGCTGGTGCAACCAGCCCCAGGTATCTGTATCATTAGGGAGAAAGTGGTATCAGTGCATCCCTCCATATTATATACAATCCCCTTAAATGCCACTAATGCTGATTTTATGAGAGTTGCTCAGTTGCACTGCTTCTCACCTGCTGGACAAAAACTGCTGATCAATTTTCCTTTCCTGCTTCAAATCGATCTCTCTGGATCTTTTGAATTTCTCCTAAGCACATTCTGTCTTTGTTGATCAGATCTCCCCCTCTGCAGTGTGTGGTAAGTGAGTTGTGTTTCTGCTGCTGTCATTTCCAGAGTGTGTACCTGTGTTTGGTAAGTGTTTGTCCCTCTGTATCTGACTCATCCAGGTATCGGAGCGAGAGAGAGAGACGTTGCTAGCTTGAGGAACACACCAGAACTGTGTTCTTCTCCAGGGGGTGAGCTGGTCTTTCACACTCTCCTCTCACTCTCTCTCTCCCTTCTCTCCTCTTTCCTGTCCTTTACTGTGGTATTTTCAGTCATAATCTGAGCTAAAGAGATCAAAAGGGGAAAAGGTATTGCCATGCTGAGAGCTGTTGCCCTGCTGTTGAGCTGTACATGTTTACGCTTCTGTGGGACAAAAGAATCAGTGCACTTTCAAGCCATCTGAAAGGTCAAAGCAGCAAATATTCGATCCGTCAAGTAAGTTGTTTTCCGACTTATTGGTTTCAGTTGATTTGGTCAGTGAGCCAAATAATTTAGGTAAGTTATACTTAGATAAGCAGAGGAACACAATGACTACACTCCAATTAAAATGAATTTCAGCTGCATTTACTTTTTGTGAATGTGCAAAACCACCCCAGCATACAGAGATACACCTCATTTTGTGCAAAGGCGATTTTTACTTTACACTAATTAGCCCATTTACTAGATACACCTACCCTGTAGTGACACTCATTGGCAACACCCACCATATACAGTCTCATGCAAAAGCTTCAACATCCCTGGTCAAGCAAAAATAAGTGACCATGTCCTCTACAGAGAACAGACTTCTGCACATTTTAAAACACAATTACTGTTTATTTGCTGAATTTAATATATTGGTGAAAAATACAACAAAATTTGGTCTGTGCAAAAGTAATGGCACATTTCATATTATGTTTTATTTGTTCCCAGTTTGTTAAACCTAAAAAAAAATAAATAAATTGAAATTGTGCAGTAAAAATATGCAGAAAATACATATTTAAGTTTGTTCGGTGTAGAGGATTCACTTAGAAAATCAACAAAACATGTCATTTGACATGGGTGTTCAAATTTTTGCTTATGACCGTATGTTATTGGTTACTTTAGTAGGACAGATTAGCATAAATGAACATGTTTAGGAATCCCATTTTTGGTGAAGGGCAATCTGTGAATTACAGCAGCCTGAGAAGACTGGTAGGATGCAGCGGTGTCCAGCTTTTGTTACATTTCTTTTGCCTCCAGAGGGCAGCATACACACCATAAAAGTGGATACTCCATACCTCCCCTCCTTAACCATTCTGTGAAAGGTACAGACAGGAATTATATACCTGTTTTGTTATTTTCTTGTTTACATAATAAGGGAATATCCCGTTAATATTCTGTTGGCTTCAGTGCGTTTCCATGTGGATTTGCAAAGGTACTGTAATCACTTTTTACTTTGCATTTCACAAAAAATATCTCTGATTCTTCTTATTTTGTATCATGGAAAATCATTTCTCTGATTTAATTTTAATGCAATTATGTTAAATCTGCAATCTTTTTCCATAAAACAGTGTCCAAAACCTAGATTGCTGACATAACTGGATGCATTTTTTAGCTGGGTAATGCTACCTACAGATGCATGTTTAAATAGTAAGGAGCAAGGCAGCTCACTAGACACTATATACAGTACTGTGTCAAAGTCTTAAGACACCTAAGCAAACTTTATCTCAGCAGTAAGTGCATTTTTATTTTTGCATTCCACACAACAATAGATCGAATACAAGTAAAAGAAATTCAGTAAGGTAAAAAAAAAATCTGGTTTTCAACAAAATAAGTGAGATGATGTGAGCTGGGTAGAAGATCCTCCATATCTTCAGCCATCACAAAGTTCTGTTGTAGTCCAACTCCAGCACACCTGATTTAATTCAATGAAACACTGATTGCGCTACAGCTAACTCATTTAACTAGCTTAATGTTATTGGTATTTATTGTAAATGCTTACTGCCAGATAATTTGCTTTTTAAATGTAACGTTCTTACGTGCCTAAAACGTTTTCACTGTCTTTCACCTTATTGTATTGTAACACAGTACCGTATACATTCAATGTATTATTCTGTGTTAATGTTTTTCTGTGTTAACGTTAAAAATACAACTTGGTCCAAATGTTCCATATGCGAGTCAAGAGCAGCTAAATTGTTCTCAACAATGTGGTCTTTTCCCAGCTCCTGCAACAAAGAGAAGCATCTTCTCCTGCCACAGCTTCCAGTCTGGACTACAGTGGGTCCAGACCTTGTCCTTCATGAGTTCCTGGGTTCTCAGCAAAGAGAGAGGAGAGTTATCTGCATTTAGCTGTGGAGCAGCTGTGCCCTACTCGGTGTGTCTGCCTGCTCTTTGCGCTAACCTGGGTCACACTGCAGCACTGCTGTCGCAAATTCAGCAAAAGCCCAGAGAGTAGGTGCACATCATCGACATTAAACTTCAGAGTTCATGTTTGGCTCACTTTTAATTTAAAAAACCAAAGAACCTACATCCGTGATTGATTTCTTATTAGGTTAATGTTTGTGAAAACTTTGTTTTATCCTCGCCAATCACAGGCCCGTTGTAACTCGCTCCTCTCACAGCTTTCAAAATTATGCGTTCCTGTAAGAATGGTCACACAAATTTATGGGCTATTGGTCCATTGATTGGTCATGCACAAAATCAAAAGACCAATAGAAATGCATGTTTACAAGAAGGTCTACAGTTGTGTGCCAATGTTTATGCACTCCTGGTCAAATAGCATGGTTTGATGATTTTGTGAGAAAGTCAAAAGAAGTTGCCCCAACATCTGCATGGAACAAACTAATTATTAAACTAAAACATCTTTCTATGAGTTTTAAAGCACAGTTAGCATTTATTTGCTGAATATATAGAAAGAAACTCAAGCAAAATGCGCCATGGCTCAGTTAGGCTTATGACTGCAGATCTGAAACCAAACATAATTGACACAAAGCAAGAGAAGACAATAAAAGACGTCATTAGTAATTGGAAGTTAAAGGGAACTGTTTAAAACAGGATAAGATTTGAAAGACCAAGAAAAACCTCTGAAAAAATACTTGTAGACTGGTCAAGCATGCAAAGCAAAACCCCCACACCGCTGCCAAGGGCCTACAGGAAGATTTGGCTGGCACAGGACTAGTAATGCACTGTGCAGTGTCATTAGACAAACATCATCTACATCAAAGGGCCATGAGAAGGAAACCTCAACTGTGATCTCATTATAAAAGTCAATGTCTGAAGTTTACAACACACCACTTATATAAACGAGAGGCATTTTGGATTAAAGTGTTGTGGTCTGATGAAAAAAAATAAATAAATATTTGGATCACCAAATCACCAAAGGTATGTTTAGAGAAAAAATGAGAAACCTTTCAATAAAAGAACAACAACATGGAGATTTCTTTTCATAAATCAACAAATTTTGTAATTTTGTCCAAGGTGCCCAATCTTTTGCATACAACTGTATCTTTGAAGACAAACGCTTCTTCCTTATATGGCTTTATAGGGTAGGAGCAAATAACTTGACAGCATGTTGCAAGATTACTGAGGGGACCTTTCCTAAAAAGCACCCTAAGCCCTGTGGTCCTCCTCCAAGTCCACACCTTAATGGACTTAATGTCAAAAATGTGTATGTATAGAGAAAAAGCTTGAAGCCAAAAGCTTCAGGTTATACATCTCCTGAGCCCAGACAAATTATTTGTTGTATGTTATTTTTCTTTTTCATGTAAGATCTTTTTGCTTGTTTAAAGTGGATCAGTATAGATTCCAAGCATAATGTAGCACAATGACATTTCAGGACTGATACAGCACAGTACTGTAACACATCCAAACTCAACTATCCATACACGTGTATGTGACAGTGGAGAAGCCTCAAGTTCAGATTCACCTTTTCCTCTGTGTTTGTGTTTGGAGACTCACAGATAACTAGCAGCTAGCTTCTGGCCACCTAACGTTATCTAACTCCAGCGATGCCGTGTGACGATCGAGTTGTTTTGGACCGCTACTGACTCTTTGGAATGCCAGAATGAAAAATGGGACACCAGTACAGCTCACTCACTCGCACTCTGCATTATTGACTGTAGGCCAGTGACAGATTATGGCCAAAAGAATGAAACCTTTGTGGGTTTCATTTTTCTGGCTTTGTCCAGGCCTAGAATTTAAATATTTGCATCACATTCTTTTTTTTAAAATTCATACCCACCATGCTTATTATGGGACTGAACTCACATTTTTGCAAAGTTGTTATTGGAATTATGTCTTCTGCAAAAAAACATTATACAAATAAATGTCCCTGTTTGCATCCAAGGTGATGGCAAACACAATGGTTTCTGTTAGTTATTAATGGTTTGGCACTTTCATACATTATAGCCTGTCTGGCAGACTATTTTTTGAAAAGGAACCTTAAATTCATCAAATATTGCTTGCATGTGATTTTTTTTTTTAACATTTCATATTCAAATATATCAGGCACATTTTTTTTTTTTTTTATTTTGGTGGTCATTTTGTTAGTTCTGTGCACACCATTTGTGAAGCACCTTGATGTGCATGTATGTGTCTGAAATGTGCTTTACAGCTATTCTGAATGATACAGGCTGCCTGGCTGCCTGTATCATTCAGGATAGATTTCAAGGTTCTGCTACTAGTCTTTAAAGCTCAAAACAACCTAGCACCTGCTTACATCACAGAGTGTCTGTCTGTTTATGTTCCGGCACGCAATCTAAGATCTGCAGATAGTGGCCTTCTACAGATACCCTCTGTAAAATACAGAAAACATGGAGAGGCCTCTTTCAGTTATTATGCTTCTAAACTGTGGAACTCAATTCCACCTTTTATTAGACGGTCAAGCTCAGTGCTCACTTTTAAGAAGCACCTAAAACGTATTTCTTTAAATTAGCATTTAACTAAAACTGGACGTCTCGTGGTGTTTATCTTGTAATTTAATCTTCATTTTCTTCTGCTTCTAATTAAGTACTAATGATCTTTTCTATAACTATGTTTTATCACCTGTCTGTCAAGCACTTTGAGCTGCCACTGGCATGAAAAGTGCTATATAAATAAAATTATTATTATTAATTATTATTATTATTATTATTATAACAATGAGTAAGAATTTGTCATTAATAGCATTACTATTAAATATCATGTGTTATGATATTATTATTAGTAGTAGTAATAGTACCTCTTGTATTATGATTGTAGCCGGTACAGGCGAGGACAGATCTCCCTCGGTTACGGTCTATAAAGCAGCGTCTTTTGTTCGCGGGTGACTTTTAATTTTGTGCTATAATAAAAGTCTGGGTCGGTCACGTGACCGCACTCCGTCCGACGTCACTCGTGTGTATGCGAGATGGCGGCTCCAGGAGCTTCTCGGGCTCAGAGCAGCGGCGCTGGGGACGACGAGGCTTTCCAGACGTTTTATTCAGAGGTTAGACCGTTTTAAGATCGCCTTATCTGACTGCCTGCGGCCTCGGGAGCGTCTCCGCGGTGTTCACCAGTCATATAACTGGTTATCCGGCCTGATATCGGACACTGGCTGCCTGTCGTTCGGTTGGTTTACCAACGTTAATTCACGAGGCTGAAGGCGGCTTCCTATTCGAATTAGCCCGTTCCACCTTAAATGGTGCAGCGGTTACAGTCTGGCGCCGGAGTCATTCAGAGTGATTGGATGTGAAATGCTCTGTTCTAGATAAACCTGCCGAGTCCGAACTGTTCTCAGCGGTGCTCTGATAGGAACCAACGTTAGTCGTCCAGCTCTGAAAGCTCCGTCTTGGAAAGTTGTGGTGTGAAACGGTTATTAATGCACTGCGCGATGCCCTGTTTGACCGTATTTGGCTTAAACTGCATTTGAATCCATTTATCACGTTCACCGCGGAGGGATACGCACTGTGTTGTGAGGCCAAATAGTCCCCAACGAAAACTTACATTTTTTTCAGATTTATGATTGTTTTTTTTACTATCATCAACGTCACATGTAAAAACTTAGACTAAGGTAAAAATATAATATCACAAGAAATTTTGTCACCATATTTATTTTATTTATTTTTTCAGATATCTGATCAGTTGAAACAGAGAAAGAACTTAGTGCAAAAACACTATTAAGAGCTGTGAGGTCAATTTTTTTTTAAGTTATTAAAGAATTAAGTTTTTCTTCAGTTAACCTGGACAAATTTAGCCCTACATCACGACCCTTGCTTCCTATCATGTCGTGGGCTGATGCAGACATCTGACATTTCTTACGTACATAACATATCTACCGATATGGATACATAAGCAATAGAAGTTAGGATCATTAACTGAGTGAGAATTACAGAGAAATGTGCCTTATTTTTAATGTACTTGGAGTACAAATGTGGTAAAATGAATGAAATGCATAGATTTCAGTTCAGTAACCCAACATCACATAAATGTGCTTTTTCAGAGTAACAGATAGGTCATCAAGTATGAACTAGATAGAATTTTTTGGACCAAGTCTTAATGTAATAACGCCACATGCACAGGCCTAGAAAGATGCCCTGTGCTCTGCCATGAATGGATTACAACACATGGATTCAAATACATTTTAAGCCAAAACTTTAAATTATAATAAAACAAAGTCTCAGACATCAGGCAGCGTATATCCAGCCATTTCTGCATGGGAGCATTCTGAGGTGGACTTCTGGTTCCTGTCACCACCACTCTGAGCAATTCTGACTCTAAGTTTCTCCAGTATGTAATATTGCACACCAGACCACTCAGAATGGCTTTATTACAGCTCAACCATTTCATTATGTGGAATTTCTTTTTTCAGGATTTCTCCTTTAAGCAGTTCTGTGAGTTAAATAGTTAATCACTGCAGATTCTGCTGTGTAGCATCGACTAACAAACTCTTAGTTTCACTTCAGTCCAGTGTTGAATGGTTCCTGCATATCTTGCTTTCATTGCTTAGAGAAGTGTTGGTTCTAGAGGACCCAGGTTCTGCATATATTGGTGTTTTTCCTTCTAGCACCATTTTAAGTCGTTAAGCCATTGGTTATTGCGGTCCTGGAGCAATATGCAGGTTAGAAGAACATCAGGACCAGTGTTGGAGAAACATTGGCTTACAGGCTTGCAGGGGCGCTCTGGCCCAAATGAAAACTTGAACTATCACTACATCTGTTGTAAACATGCCTCCTCACCTCTTACAGCAGTGCTGTAGTAGTTTTTAAAGCAAGGTTTCCTGGAAACTGGAAACTAGAAAACCCCACTGCTAATGATGTGTTTTGAAGGTCATAGTCAAAGTATAAAGTAAAGTGTTTTAGGGTGAATACTTGGAAGCTGACTGTTTACGTAGGTTGCTAATGTTTATTATAGTTATTATATGCTAGCTTTTAATGTTGTTGTAAGACTCTAGATCAGTGGCTAGGAGTTACAAGTAACAAATTTCTGCAGTTTTCTGATTATTCAAATGGTGTAAACAGCATAATCCTATTTCTTAGATCAGAGTAAGGTCTAGAAATCTGATTAAAAAAAAATCTGATAAAGAGAGCTGGATTTTAGCTCAGTAATTAGATGTCTCAGTGCATGTAAACTCTTGCTCTGATTTCTACGGGATTTCTCAGTCTGCGCATGTGAGAAAACAGGCCGCGGTACCAGAAATAAGCAAGCAGAGACGCGGCAAAACACTTTCGAAGCGACGCTGAAATCAACTATATGCTTGATGAATGAAGGCTTCTAGATGATGTGTGTTCATATTTTTAGGTAAAGTGGGTTGATGTTTGAGTTTACGTTGCGTATACGTCACGTCATCTTCTGTGAGTTTATTGGCTGGCTGCAAAGCAGAAATCTGATTATTGCCTGACTCAAGTAGACCTGAGTATCTGATTACTTAAGTACATGTAAACATATTGATCGTATTACTGTCAAAATGATTTTCTGCAGTTATCAGATTATTAAGTGCATGTAAACGCACTCACTGATTGATGAAAACAAAAAATCGATTCAAAATCCTGAGTTTGGTCAAACCAGTGAGGCTGAGGGTTGACAGTGCTGTGCTACAGAGTACTATATAACGTAACATTAAATCCTAGTTTTAGGCTGGTATGTCCTTTAAAAGTAATGGTTAGATGAAAAATCCAACTTGGCTCCAGTCAGCTGAAACTCTGAATGTAGTCGACTAGCCAACACAAGTTTGGTGATGCAGTTTTATCCTGGAGCTCTGAGTCTAATGTAATAGTCTCTCATAAAGAGAAAACCAAACGTGTCTTGACTGACAGACTACATCTGGGGTTAGAGAGAAATGTTCAGCAAATCATTCCTTTAATGCAGGTTAGCTGTCAAGATTTTCGAAATGAAGCCCCCACAGCAAAATTGACATAAGCAGCGTGTATAGAGCTTTATTTAACGCCAGTCATGTAATAAAGGTTATGAGATTTACAGATGGTTTATAGGATCCTCATTGGTTGAGAGCTGAGTTTGCAAAATATATTAATGCTAAATGATGTATTTGAAAGGCAGGTGAATTGTAGTAATTTAAGTAATTTTTGATCATCAATTAGCACCCTTTGCTGTGATAACAGCCTTTAGTCTTCTGGGAAGGCTTTACACTAGATGTTGGAACATTGCTGTGAGGATTTGATTGCATTCACCCGCAAGAGCATTAATGAGGTCAGGTACTGATGTTGAATGATCAGATCTGGATCACAATTCATCCCAAAGTTACTGGATGGCGCTCCATCATTCCAGAGAACACAGTTCCACTGCTCCACAGCTCAGTGCTGGGGGTCTTTATACCCTTCTAGCAGACGCACAGCGTTTAACATGGTGACTTTAGACTCAGTGCAGCTGCATCAGAGCATCCCATCCAACTGGTCAATGCTTTTTTTATGGAGATATTTAATTAATTAGAAGAGGAACCTTCTAATTATTGTTATTGGTAAGCTGGCTTTGTCTCTGAACTGCTGTCCAGGAAACTCTAGGCTACTCATACTGATGCTGCCAAGTTGTGTTTTTGAAGTTTTTGTATTTTTGATGTGCAGTAAGTGGCTGTTGACATTTTTGAGTGTTGCCTTTGCTCCCCATGCATTTCATTGATTACAGGTTTTTTTTTTTCATACAGGTGAAGCAGATAGAAAAGAGAGACTCAGTATTGACCTCCAAACAGCAGATAGATAGGTTGCTTCGGCCTGGCTCGTCATATTTCAATCTTAACCCGTTTGAGGTGAGTGACCTGTTTGATCCGTTTGAGAGGTCTGCATTGTCACTGTATTAAATGTATTTAGATTTGCATTGATCTCTTTGCCGTCATTAATAAATTATCACCTTTGGTCCTCTGTAGGTGCTACAGATTGACCCTGATGCAACAGATGAAGAATTAAAGAAAAGGTTTCGACAGGTAGGTTTGTCACTGTAACAGCTTTTTTTTCCCTGCCCATACAGTACTGTGCAATGATCAGAGACCATCCTTCATTTATTTAATTTCTGGTTGAAACAGCCAGTAAGTACAAGTTATTCTGTTTTCAGTGTCTGCAAAAGAGCAGAAAATATATATTTAACAGAAAATCACACAGAAGCCCCAGCAACTAAATATAACATTTAGTTGTTCAGTATTTAGTGCGCTCCTGGTTTGTGTTAATTACAGCTTCTATTCTTTTTCAGGAGACTTGCTTTCAGTTTTTTTAGAGAAATCTGCAGAGATGTTTTGCACTCCTCCAAAGTTCAGGCTTAGAAGTTGGTTGCATTTTCTGTTTCTATTTCTACGAGTAATTAGAATCTCATTCAGTGATGTTGAGGTCTGGACTCTGGAGTGGCCACTTTAGTGTTCTGAGAACACCAGCAGCTTCTTTGATTTGCAAATTTTTCCTTTTTTGTCTATTTCTGTTTCTCAGTAACAGCTGTTTGACAGCTACACATCCTTTCAGACCTTTAGCGCTGAGTTGTCTTCTCACAGTAAAAAGAAAGATGGACAGAAACACCTGTGGATTTTTGCAAATCTGAAGCAAGAGTAGAGCTTGATTTTCTCCTCTCTCTCAGAGATGAAAGAACTGTTTATCTGATGATGACAGTTTTGGCGGTCTATCAGCAAACCATGGTCAGGACAGAAAATGGACAAATAGAATGGTTCCACATTGGTAAAGGAGTTAGACAAGGCTACCCACTTTCACCAAACCTGTCCAGCCTGTATGCTGAACATATAATGAGCGAAGCAGGACTGGAGGAAGACGATCAAGGGTTCAGAATTGGTGGAAGAAACATTGATAACCTCTGATATATGGATGATACAACACTCAAAGCGGAAAATCTGGAAGACATTAAGGTCCTTAAGGAAGGTTAAAGAACAAAGTGAATAGATTGGGCTTCGGCTCAATATGAGGAATATTAAGGTTATGACAACAGGAAAGACTGTTAACTTTCCTATTGATGGAGAAGGTGTGGAAATGGTGGACAGCTTTTTCCTGATGATAATAATAATCAAAATAGTAATAATAAAAATTCAGTTTTGGAGGCTCTCCTGAAAAAAAAACAACGCTGCCATTTTGACCGGAACTGAAGCAGATCTCTCTCTCTGACTTGCACAGGACTGTACAAGTGTTTTGAGTTTTTAAAAGATAATGCACATATTTGAGGTTTATGTCTCTTTCTGTTTTCTAGTTGTCCATCTTGGTCCATCCAGACAAAAATCAGGATGATCCAGACAGAGCACAGCAGGCTTTTGAAGGTGAGTTTTACTGCTGCAATAGCTACAATTTATAGCTCTTAGCTAATTATGCTAATTATAGCTTTTTTAAGAGTCACTGCTGATATTTATATAATAGAGGTAATGTAGTAGTGGACGATAACCCCTGTAAGTATTGCTATCAAAAAGTAAGATGATTTTAAAACAAACTCTTCAGTAACATTTGTCAAACCTTATGTTTCTGTGTTAAACCAAGCAGAATGTGCTGGTACCCGGGGCCTGTCTCAGCAAGCAGAATTCCTTGTATAGCCATCAAACTTTAAGCTTAGTTTGATCTAACCCTGGATTTCTGTCTCATGGTGGTGGATAATTTTAGACAGGACTGCATCACCAAGGCAGCTTATACTACATGCCTAACCTGCTCCCGAGCAGTGGCAGGGACAACAGTGTCGCTTTTTATTGTTCTAAAATAATGTTGCTTTACTTTCTACATATTTTTTTCAACCTTTCTTTGAAAATGAGCTGCTCATCTCTTTCTGATGTTTTACACGATTGGCTTTTCATCATAAACGTCACATTTATGTGCTCATGCATGAGTATGAGTCATAACTTGAGTATCTGTATCTGGGTTAACAGAGAAAGTTGTTAAAAGCCATCATAAGACGAGTCAACAGCTGCATTTGTAGGGAACCCTGTTTGAGTTGAGAACATGCTTAGTGAGACAGGCCCCAGGTTTCTGCACTTCCTAAACAAACAAAGCTGCTCCTCTCAGTCTAACATGAATGTTTCGTAAACAAATTAGCATGAATAAATATTTGTACTACGGTTGGTTACTGAGTCAATAGGGAATGGAAGACCATTAGTTTTGTGCAGCTGCATGCTGTGTTAACCCATTGCTCTTTAAACTGTTCACAGCGGTTGATAAGGCATATAAACTTCTTCTGGATACTGAGCAGAAGAAGAGAATCATTGACGTGGTCCATGCAGGAAAAGAATACGTGGAACATATGGTGAGAGCCATACGTCAGTCTTTTCAAGCAGTTAAAATAATTTTATTTCCGTAGGTCCTGATTAGATTTAGCTTGGGGATGCATGATGATATTGGAATATCAGTGTCAGTAGATAATTGAAACAGTTTAAAAATGGCATCAGATAATTGCACACATCGGACTCTTGATGAGATTAGAGTGATGTTTCAAACCGATGTTTAATGATGTTCTTTGTGCTCTGGAACAACAGAATGTTTAGGTAATTTCAGACTATAGAAATAAATGTTGCATATTAACTATGGTGTCAGCATCAGCAGGTATGTACATGAAAAATATTGGATATTGGCATCAGCTCAGAATTCCCATATCAGGGCTGGTTTATATTTGTATGAATAATGTAGTAATTACACGCATTAAGTGATGTTAATAGATTTAAACAGTATGTGTGGTTGGTTTTTTAAAGAGGTGCACATCTTCCAGTTTGGTAGTCTGGGTAAACAGCTTGAATCAAGCATATTTATGATTTCTTTATATATATATATATATATATATTATCTCAGCAGCCTAAATGTACTCGCTGTGTTCTAATTTCAAACCCTGATGCAAGCCTATCAATTTCCATGCTTCTGATACGGAGCAGCAGTCTGTTGTTAATTTCTATTTGATATTTGGATCGAGTTTACAAATGTATAGTTGCTGACATTTGGTGTTTTGTATTGACAGATGAGTCAGAAGAAGAAACAGTTGAAGAAGGACGGGAAGCCCACAATTATAGAGGAGGACGATCCAGAAGTGGTACATATTCTGTTGTTCCGTCTGCTTTTCACTCATTTTCACAATGTAGCACCGAAATTCTCCTTTTCTGTTGGGCTTTATTTTATATTGGACAAATAGTCTCATCCCAGTAACACTAGACTGTTTTCTTAAAAGAAGTTTCCTCCTGTTACCTGAATTAGAGCTTTTTGGGAAAATACTAGAACAAGTTAGAGCTGGATTAGTTTTAGATGTTTCAAAGACGCTTTGTTTTTTTCTGAATAAGTGCTCAAATACTCGTTCTTAATCACTCTTACAAACAGTAATTACGTTTTAGAATTATTCATAATTTTTAAACAAAGGTTGTCACTGCAGTTCAAAAAATATCCAGTTGGTGGCAACAAAGTACTAATAGTCCGGCTGAAACTCATTTGCTTGTGGGCTGTGTTGCTGTAACAGAGTCTGTATATCCTTCAAATACAGACTTTTTTCAGTTGTGTAGCATTTATGGGTCATGCATTTAGATACAAATTAAACATCATTTTTGTCATCATGGGTGTTAGATTTAGTTGTTTTTAGTTTAGTTGTTTTTTGTTTAATTATTATTTTTACGTTTTATTTAATTTGGCTGTTTTGACCTTTATATATAGCTCAACTCAGTCATGCAGCTCTCGTCCATGGCCTAAAAAGTCACTGGCTAGAGTTTACTAAAGTGGACTTCACCCATGCACCAGACTTGTCTTCTTGGGGGCGCCCTTTAATCGCAGCACCGCTGATGTTCCCCTCCCTTAGCACTGCTAGAACTCAGCCCACAGCAGGCTTTAGGCAGAAAAACGCTTCTTTACAGATGGAAGTAAAATACATTTTGTAGTTTTGAACCTTGATTTGTCTCTGCCAGCCTGTGACACAGTGACAGCAGGAACCGCATCCGAGGAGCTCACTTTTGGAGCTTTACATCTGAAGTCTTTTGGCTGGATGAGCTGTCATTGAATGTCCTCCAAAGCCAGACATGCACTGATTGATTTTAGAAATCTTGTTCTTTGATGACTCATTTTTGGTTTTCATTCAAAATAAAACGCTGCGAGCTGAGTACTAAGCAGCTTTGCCAGCACTGAAGCTAAAAGCAGGTGGTGATGTTCACGGTAGGACAAGATGGTCTCTCTACAGCCTATTTCACAAAAAAAAACACTTTCTTAACGTTAAAACCTTCCCTGTCCTGTTCATTCAAAGAGAGTAAAGTTGGCATAGACACTCTGTGGTAGGAAATGTCGACTTTATGCCTCCATCTGGCTGACCGACGCGTCTCCACTCGTACTGGGGAAGCGGCTGTGGTCGTGTGTTTTGAAAACGGGCTAAAATCACTCACTGTAGTTCTGGTGGGAATTTGCCAAGACAAATAGTTTAAAGTGGCCGACAACTTTGTGTCTGACTGTCACAGAGTCTGTAACACTTCTCTGTGTGAGCAGAGACTCCTTCACTGCCAGCTTGAGTCGTTTGTCCATTCGCATGGCACTGTCCACTCGGCTTACGTCACACAGCATCAGTTGGTATCGGAATGTTTGTATCGAGAGATTTGAGATTTTGAGTACGAATAAACAAGCGCAGTAACGGCCCGCTGCCAGGATCTGTATCGATGCATCCCTACTAAATAGAACCAAATACCAACGAGACGGGCAAATACGCAAGACTTGGAATTATTCGGGCCACAATTCAAATTACCTTGCAGAGTCTCCTCTGGTATAACTCATCCAGCTCCAGTAGTGCTTAAGTCAGCTCACGGATTTTAAACCCACTTGTTCATTGCTTGTTGCCTGTTAATGTACACAGTTGATTTAACATTGGTACCAGTTTCAGTTGGAGTGTTCTTAAGTGTTTGTAGTGACTACATGAGGAGGCCAGAATGACTTTCTGTCTGTCTTTTAGTTCAGGCAAGCTGTATACAAACAAACTATGAAGCTTTTTGCTGAGCTGGAGATTAAGAGGAAGGAGCGAGAAGCCAAGGAGATGCATGAAAGGTAGTCCTAATGTTTATCTCTGTCTTTCTGTCCCTTTCTCTCACTTATTCACACACCATCTGAAGTATTTACCGATAGTAGGAATACAGATTTAAAAGTGTATTTCTTAAAAAAGTTCCATGTTTCTGGGTTTGGACTGAAATTCTATAAAAATGTCTAATTGGTAGCAAACCTGTCCATTATATGGAGGTTCTTTAAACTGTTAAAAAAGGTTCTTCATGCTTGCATTCATGTCTCATTTCCAACAACAGTTCTTCAAAGAACCGATCATTAAAAGGTTATTTAGGGAGCCAGTAGTGGTTCTTCTGTGGCATAGCTCCAAAGAACCCTGCTGGCACCTTTCTCTTTAAGAGTGTAGCTTCAATGTCACCGGCTCTGATGCCATTCCTTGGGAATCCATAGGAAGTTCAGGTTTAATAAACTTAAGTGTTGTACTTAGCTTTTTGCCTGGCTCTCCAGAAATAGGAACACAAATGTGAATTGGAATTGAAATAAGTATGTTTGTAAGTGTCTGCAATGAAATATTTCCTCCATCCTCTATTGCCAGGTTGCCACTATCAAAACTTTATTGTAAGGAGTTGAAAACGTGTTAATGTTTAATTTTCTTTTTTGAAATGTATGTTTTTTTTTTTCCTCAGGAAAAGACAGAGAGAAGAGGAGATTGAAACGCAAGAGAAAGCCAAACGAGAGAGAGAGTGGCAGAAGAACTTTGAGGTAGGCCTATCTTTGTCAGATGCTTGTGTTTTGAGGAATCGTTTCGAAATACAGAAATACTCAAAAAATCTATAGAAACTGTTATTTTCATGTTGTCGTTTGAGCCACATAGCAGTGTTGCTGGTTTCATATGCTGGTTTCTTCTAAACTGGTGGTCTCAAACCGTGATCCTACTGATCTACCTTCCTGAGGAGTTCCAAGCACTTAAGGTCTCCCAGACCTGCTTCAGCTAATAAAGTCTTCAGAGGTCCTCGCTTGGCTGGACGAGATGCATTAGTGTTGGGTGCATGTTGGAACTAAACTCCATAAGAAAGTAGACGGAGGACGGATGGAGACCTCTGCTCCAAATGCACATTAAAAGCTGAAAAAAGATGCACAACAATCTGATGCATCTTTTTCATTTTGAGACATTTTTCTTCTTTTTTTCCCTCCCCTAGGAAACGAGGGATGGACGTGTGGACAGCTGGAGGAACTTCCAGGCCAAAGGCAAGACCAAGAAAGAAAAAAAGAACAGGACGTTCCTCAAGCCTCCAAAGGTCAAAATGGAGCAGAGAGAGTGACTGATGTGAAGAAAATTGAGAGAAGGAAGGCCAGACCCTCTAAAGCCACCCACCCTGACCTTCCCGTCTCATTCTTCCCCTCCAGGCCTGTTTAGTTTGCTATTAAAGGAATGGTTCACTGAAAAAATCTAATCTAGTTTTCCCTGGTACCCAAAATGAAGTCAATCAACCAAGACAAAAGTGGATTTTATTCCCAGTGAACCATTCTTTTAAGTATAGTAGGCCTGCAGTTCAGGAATACGAATCACTCAGCAGGTGGCGCTATGGAGCAATGTTTTTTCTCCCTCTCCTTTTTTCATATGCCAGAAGAGAAGGGTAGTACAACTGGTCTAGAGCATTGGGCACTGTTTGACATTGTTCATCACAGTAAATTAACCCACATAGCAGCTGTCACCTCAACAAACAGGCCTGTAATGTGTCTAGGGTTTTTTTGTTAATGTACATATTTGTGAAAAATTGTGAAAGACTTTGACATACATTGTGCACATTAGAAAGCTAGTAAAAATGATTCCTTTCTTCCTTTTTTTTGGTTAACATTTGAAAGTTGGCTTCTTTTTGTCTTTTTTTTCCAGTTTTTACCCTATTCACCCAAAGTTGTTTGTAGCTTACATTAGAATTAAAGGTTGTTTTTATGTATAGTTTAATGTGCCTCTTTGCTCAAATAAGTGTTTCAAGCTCACTCAGAAAACAGGCAAAATTACCTGCCTGTTCAGCGGTAATGTCGTTTTGGTCAGCATGACCGTTCTCTTACTGTTATCTTAGACTGCATGGCCATAAGCAGAAGTGTGCCTAAACACTACCATTGCAAATTGCATTTTATTGCAATGTAAAAAAAAAAAAACTGACAAAAGGATGAGAATTTCATTCATTTGGAGTGAAGTCATATTTAAGCTGGGTTAGTTTAAGCTCGAGCATGTGCACCAGTAGTGAAGACCAATTTGCATTAGCAACACATGCTTCAGTGCTCTGGGAGAGTTTATAGTGCTGTGAGTTTAACACTTCATGACTGAGAGCTGCTACAGCAACTTCTTCACCCACAGCAGCCATGACTTTAATCCCCATCTTCATCTGGACGGTGATCGTCTGTGCTCAAGGTGTGCGAGCCTATATGTTTTGTCCTCTCATATATATATATATATATATATAATTTTCTGAAACAATATTTATGGCAGGTGATGACATGTCAGTTCATGCATTCTTGTATTCCACTTTTTGTGAATTCCTTGCACTAGATGGTCAAGCGACTGTGACTCAGACTCCTGCAGTGAAATCTGCTCTCCCAGGAGACACAGTCACCATCAGCTGTAGAACCAGCTGTCCAGTGCATCGGTACAGTGAAGGGAATGAAGGGCTGTACTGGCACGTACAGAAACCTGGACAGCCTCCGAAAGCTTTGATCAGACATGCAAAAATACTGGTGTCAGATACTCCAGCTCGTTTCAGTGGCAGCGGGTCTACATCTGACTTCACTCTGACCATCGGTGGAGTCCAGCCTGAAGATGCAGGAGATTATTACTGTCAGACGTATCAGAGTGGTACAGTGTTCACACAGTAATACAGAGCCATACAAAAACCTCCCTCAGTCAGGCTGTGCAGAGGCTGAACTGCTGCAGTGGGACCTCCTGCAGGTGCTGAGTAGAGGATGTGAAACTGCACGATTACACAAAATAACTGTTGAGAGAGAACACAGCACATTAACTCACTGCTGAAAATAGAAATCTCTGAATAACTGCCCTGTGCAAAACAACTGGGGACACCTTGCTGCCCTTCTGAGATTTCAAATTTTTATCATTATTTTAAAAGTAAAAATACCTGCGTATGTTTTTAATACAGTAAAAGACAGTAATTTTGTCCAGTATTGTAGATAAAAAGGTTCAAATCAAAAGAAGCTAACTTAAAACAGCTAATATGTGTAGTAATATGTTTTTTGTCAAACTATATATGGATAAAATGTGTATGATTTGGCATTATGATGACAGTAGTACTGTCACAATTGTTGTTTTTCCCTCAAAATCGGAGATTACAAAATTGGTATTTGACATGAGGAAAAGGCTAATTTTATTAGAAACATTAAAAATGCTTGGTGTACCTTGGACCTACACTGTTAGAAATAAAGGTACTGTGCAGGTACATTTTTCATTCATCAAGGTACAAACTATGTAAACGTACCTCAAAGGTCCAACAGTGGTTTTAAGGTCCAATTGTGCACCTTAAATACGTTTTTCTATGCGAAAAGTACATATTTATACCTTTTCATAACTAAATGTTTTAAAACAGAGCCGTAAAATAAAAAGCCTGGAGACAAGATGGGGCGTGTGTGGAGTCAGTACAGCTTAGAACATATAATTTTAATAAATTATGGTACAATTATGTTTCCTGACTAAAGGTACTGACATGTACCCTTGAGGAGACCACCCCAGTGACAGTTTTGTACCTTTTTGTCTGGGAGTATACAGTTTTTCAAACCAACGAGTCCAGTTTTGGCTACATTAAACATCCAGGAAAACCTTCAGCACACATTTTGATCTGACTATTTCTTATCCTAGTTTTTTATTCACTATCGAATAACTTTCTATAACCAGTGGTGTAAAATACACAAGTACTTGTACTTTCTTAACATACATACTTAAGTAATATTACGGAAGATTTGTATACACATATATATTTGTATTTGTATACATGTATATATATAAAACAACAGTGACTTTCATTCAATATATATCAATCTCCGTTCAGTATATATCAAGGTTCATTTCATTCAATATATATCAGTATTCATTCTGTATATGTCAATATTCATGAAATATTTCCTATTTCGCCTGCTATATATATATATATATAGTGTGACCCCTGGTTCGTATCACCACCATGAAAAATGAAATACAAAACCTCAAATGTCTGAGATGTGACGAATCATAAAGCGCTGATCCTGGACCAACAGAATGAAAAGAAATTAAACACAAAGTTTTTTGTAAATAAATGTTTAAGACTAAAATGTAACTGAGTAAAAAGTAGATTTTTTTTTCTCTTGAATGTACTTGAGAAGAATTTTGATGGAGAAATACGAGTACAAAACCAGTTAAACTTCACTTGAGTACATGGAACTGAGTAAATGGAACTAGTTACTACACAGCTATTATGAGATAAGTGGGCAAAAATGCTTCTATTCTCTGTGGATTTGCCTTGGCCCTGTGGTGGTCTGGCGAGAGCTCCTGCAAAACTAGACCAATCCAGACGGTTTCCCTTCCGTCACGCTCAGCAACACCTGTTCTTTGAGGCCAACAGCGGAGTGTCCACAGTGAGGGGATGATTTGCATTAGCAGCACATGCTTCAGTGCTCTGGGAGAGTTTATAGTGCCGCGAGTTTAACACTTCATGACTGAGAGCTGCTACAGCAACTTCTTCACCCACAGCAGCCATGACTTTAATCCCCGTCTTCATCTGGACACTGATCTTCTGGACCAGAGGTTAGATTTCACTCAGTGTGCTCTTAAACAGGGATGAAGACCAGGACATGATACGATACGAATTGCTAACTGATTGAACAGTTCATTTGTCCTATAAATATGTTTTTGTGTATTCTTCTTGTGAATCGATCATTCCAGAATCCAGAGGTCAAGCCACAGTAACTCAGACTCCTGCAGTGAAATCTGCTCTTCCAGGAGACACAGTCACCATCAGCTGTAGGATCAGCACTGCAGTGTATCAAGGCTGGGGCTATCAGCCTTTTTCCTGGTATCTACAGAAAACTGGAGAAACTCCTAAACTCTTGATCAAGAAAGCAAATGAGTTGCATTCTGGTACTGCAGCTCGTTTCCGTGGCAGCGGATCTGGATCTGACTTCACTCTGACCATCAGTGGAGTCCAGCCTGAAGATGATGGAGATTACTATTGTGTGAGTGTTCACTGCCCTAATATCTGCGTGTTCACACAGTGATACAGAGTCGTACAAAAACCTCCTTCAGTCCGACTGCAGTGGGACCTCCCGCAGGTGCTGAGGTGGAAGATGTGAAACAGCACAATTACACATTTGCATGAGGGTAGTTGCAAACTGCTCTTAGTCTGGTTCTTCAATCATGCAGAACATGCACTGCGAGAGAAAGAAGTATGAAGAAGTGAAAAGTGCTGGGTCAAATGCCAGCTTGACTATGTTGGGCCAAGCACTACATACATACACTGACTGGCCACTTCATTAAATACACTCCCTTGTTTCTACGCTCATTGTCCATTTTATCAGCTCCACTTACTATATAGGTGCACTTTGTAGTTCTACAGTTACAGACTGTAGTCCATCTGTTTCTCTGCATACTTTGTTAGCCCCCTTTTACCCTGTTCTTCAATGGTCAGGACCACCACAGAGTAGGTATTATTTGAGGGGTGGGTCATTCTCAGCACTGCAGTAACACTGATGTGGTGGTGGTGTGTTAGTGTGTGTTGCGCTGGTCTGAGTGGATCAGACACAGCAGTGCTGCTGGAGTTTTTAAACACCTCAGTGTCACTGCTGGACTGAGAATAGTCCACCAACCAAAAACATCCAGCCAACAGCGTCCTGTGGGCAGCATCCTGTGACCACTGATGAAGGACTAGAGGATGACCAACACAAACTGTGCAGCAACAGATGAGAGCGTCTAATAGAGTGGACAGTGAGTGGACGCAGTGTTTAAAAACTCCAGCAGCACTGCTGTGTCTGATCCACTCGTACCAGTACAACACACACCGCCACCACATCAGTGTCACTGCTCTGTGGTTGTCCTATGGGGGTCCTGACCATTGAAGAATAAGGTAAAAGGGGGTTAACAAAGAAGGAGACAAAGCAGAGGCCATGATTTCTGCAACAAGAAGTGCTCTTTGTTAGCACCAGTAAAAAAGGCACATAACACAGCTAACCCAACAGGGGGGGATCACTATGAGCACCATACTTCCCCCAACCCCCACGCAAAGTAACCCCAAAGCCCAGCACATTGACATACTCAACATATACACACACTTTAACCCGCTAAAGTCCCAGGCTTATTGCATGCTAAGGCTTATTATTCAGTAAGTACTGGACTTCAATGCAAACTAGTTGAGCTATTCTTAGGTTATAGAAGTGTGTAATGCAACTTGTGGCCTGCTGGTGGGCTCCGGCCTTTTAAGGGGTTAAACATTTGCCATCCTTTTGGCGGAGGGGTGTGCGGGGCAGGTCTACATACCATGCCTCTAAAGCCCCTACTATGAACCGGATCAAACCCCCACCCTGCTATTTGACACAACTAATTAAAGTAGATATATCTACTTTGCAGGGCAAAGCAGGGGGCAGGTCCAAACTATAGGTCAACCTGGAAGTTCTTCTAATCATGCAGCCTGTTCACACTTGAGTGAATTAAAAATATAGGCTCCAGTATATTATGCATTTTTGTACATGTAAGACACTATCGTATCTGTGTTTCAAACCCAGGGAGAGAGTTCACCAGATTTCAGTAGAAGAACTAACTTGTTGTAGACTCTTCTGCAAAAGTGCTGTAACTTACTGACGGACATTTTGAGAGTTATTTCAAAACTCATATAGAGCACATTTATTAGCTCCAAACGTCATACTTCTTGTAAACAGACAGTTTTATGCTGAGCATTACGATGGTGTTCACTCAGGTGACACTGGTCAAGTGTTTAATAATAGAAAATGGAACAGGAATGGCTCTGGCTTTGGATTAATCTGGTTCTTACCATCATTATTCCACTATCAGCAACCTAATATTGGAAAAGGGAACCCTGGAGAACAGCTTCAATCTGTGATCTACGACCAGCTCACACATTCATAATCAACTGAGACTTTAACAGTAGGTACAGCAGTAGATTTGTTTGCAGCTCCTCATTCAAACATATACTCCACTCACAACTTCTTTTCTGTAAATTCCAAGTATGTGGATAAACAAAAAGATCATAAGAGCAGCTGCACTGTTTCAGCAGCTCAGGACCCTGGACAGCACACAGAACCGAGCTAATAAGACCCTGAGAGGCACTCCTGAACTGAAACATTGGACTGATCTCCAAACGGCCCACACTGTGAGAAATTCATTCACAGAAACTTTGTTGAAAAAGATGTAAATGCCTATATTAAAGATACACTGTGTAGGTTTTGGAAATTTGGAGCCTGCTTTGGTGGAAATGTTGTGCTGCGGGTCAGTTTTCCACTGTTATTGGATTTTCCTTCTCGAGAATCTCTCTCAGGAAATCCTACCGAAGAACCCCCTGTCCATAATATATATATATTCAGAGTATGAGCTCCTTGAAGTGAGAAATTAAGTTAGAAATATATTAATCAAAAACTTATAGCCAACCTCCATCCTCTCACCCACCACAATTTTTTTTATGAACTATGAAGGAATTAGCAGATCAGACGACTTATAGAAGTGAGATTTGGGTTGAAGTTCTGTTATGAAGATATTTACATAGACAGGAGACACGTTGCACTGAGTGCTCCATGCTTCAGTGCTCTGGAAGAGTTTATAGTGCTGTGAGTTTAACACTTCATGACTGAGAGCTGCTTCAGCAACTTCTTCACCCACAGCAGCCATGACCTTAATCCCCATCCTCATCTGGACACTGATCTTCTGGACTCGAGGTCAGACACCGTTTTGATTTTTAGAATGACCTGCCCTAGAGGTACTTTTACAATAAGTACTGTTTGCATGGTTTTATGAGTCTAACATAAAAATCCTGATATTTATTTCTATTTTTCCAGAGTCCACAGGTCAGGTGACTGTAACTCAGACTCCTGCAGTGAAATCTGCTCTTCCAGGAGACACAGTCACCATCAGCTGTAGAACCAGCACTGCAGTGTATTACCACAGCTCATATGGTCACTACTTATACTGGTATCAGCAGAAACCTGGAGAAGCTCCTAAACTCCTGATTAAATTTGCGAATCAGCTTCAGTCTGGTTTTGCAGCTCGTTTCAGTGGCAGCGGATCTGCAACAGACTTCACTCTGACCATCAGTGGAGTCCAGCCTGAAGATGATGGAGATTATTACTGTCAGGGTCAATTTTCTGTCAGTGGTAGCTGGTTGTTCACACAGTGATACAGAGCCGTACAAAAACCTCCCTCAGTCTGACTGTACAAACGCTGCACTGCTGCAGTGGGACCTCCTGCAGGTGCTGAAACAGCACAATCACTCACTCTGTGGAGGAGAACAAACTCAGCACACTGACTCACTACTGACTGTAGAAATGTGTAAATGACTTTGTTCACAATGGATTTATTACGGAATATGATGAGCTTCTACAGTGTACAGTCACTATCAGCTGTAGAAGCAGCACTACAATGTATTACACCAGCTAATACAGCCAGTACTTACACTAATATCAGCACAAAGTAATATCAGCACCTCTGTTCATCCACCCACATTGCACACCTCCACACGCTTCACTACAGTTAAACAGTCAGTGAATAATCAATCAGGTTTTTTCAACCTTTATAATTTCACAGCAAAGCAAGAAGTCTTTTAAATTGAATAACAACAAATCACAGTACTTCCACATGATTTAATGGTGAGCAGGGGTCCCGCTTGGCCCAGGCTTCCAGGGCTGAAGCACTGAATATTTTTAACCAGCCCTGAACTTTATAACATTACATAAGGACAGAAAGAAAGTAAAAAAGGCACATTAACAAATCACCTGTCAGTAAACAAGCCCAACCTACACGTTATGTTGTGCATGAAAATGTTTACTGATACTTTGTAAGGTCTGTCAGACTCAGATCGGACTTCAGACTTCTAACAATGTTTTTCAGGACACTCAAAAAGTTACCCAGATGAAATGCTGTATTTCATATCATGATCTTTTATAATTAAAATATTGTTTCTTCTTTAGTTTCAAGCAAGAAGAATACTATGGTTTTACTGAATGCTATTAAGCATTGTAAATGATAGAAAAACTATAGACAATATGTTGTTTTAGTAGAACTTTTGAGGTGAAACTTATAGAAGAGATGGAAAGAGATATAAAATGTGCAGGGGACTTTAAAAAGGCAATTACTGGGGAAACTGGGGTTTTCATTTTTCTGTTAAAAACAGTGTTTGCACTCTGCTCGATTTTTATGATTTTGTTTAGAACCCTGTTTCCAAAAAAGTTTGGGCACTGTGCAAAATGTAAATAAAAATAATACAAAGATGTGCAAATAATTTAAACCCTACATTTGATTGAAAATAGTACAAAGACAACATATCAAATGTTGAAACTTCTTTTTTGAAAAATATATGCCCATTTTGAATCGTGCCAGCAGCACGTTTCAAAGTTGGGACAGGGGCAACAAAAGGCTGGTAAAGTTGTGTAATACTAAACAAAACACCGGGTGGTTAAATGGCAACAGGTCAGTAACATGATTGGGTATTAAAAGAGCATCTCAGGGCCAAGATGAGGAGGGGTTCACCACCCTGTGAAAGACTGCACGAGCAAATAGTGCAACAATTCAAGTATAACGTTTCTCAGCGTAAAATAGCAAAGAACTTCAGGATTTCATCATCTACAGTACATAATATCATTAAAGTATTCAGAGAATCCAGAGCCATCTTTGTATGCAAAGGACAAGACCAAAACCCAATATTGGCTGGCTGTGATCTTCAAGCCCTCAGGCGGCACTGCATTAAAAACAGATATAATTCTATAGTGGAAATCACTGCATGGGCTCAGAAACACTTCTGAAAACCACTGTCTGTGAACACATCCACAATCGCAAGTTAAAACTCTGCCATGCAAAGAAGAAACCATATATAAAAAGGATCCAGAAACACCTCCACCTTCTCTGGGACCAAGCTCATTTAAGATGACTGAGGCGATGTGGAAAAGTGTCCTGTGGTCCGACAAATCAAAATTTGAAATTTTTTTTGGAAATCATGGACACTGTGTCCTCTGGGCTAAAGACCACCCAGCTTGTCATCAGCACACAGTTCAAAAGCCAGCATCCATGATGGTAGAAGAGTGCATTAGTGGACATGGCATGGGTGACCTGCACATCTATGAAGGCACCATTAATGCTGAATGATATATACATGTTTTAGAGCAACATATGCTGCCATCCAGATGAAGTCAGGGAAGGTCTTGCTTATTTCAGCAAGACAATGCCAAACCACTTTCTACATGTATTACAGCAGCATGGCTCCGCAGTAAAGGAGTCTGGGTGTTAAACTGTCCTGCCTGCAGTCCAGACCTGTCACCCACTGAAAACATTTCGCACATTATGAAATGAATATTGAGACAAAGGAGACCCCAAATAGCTGAGCAGCTGAAATCCTATATCAAGCAAGAACAGGAAAACATTTCACTTTCAGTTCCCAAACGCTTATAGAGTGTTGTTAAAAGAAGAGATGGTGCAACACAGTGGTAAACATGCCCCAGCTTTTTTAAAACTTGTTGATGGGATCAAACTCAAAATTGACATATACTTTGCAAATAACAATAACATTTCTCAGTTTCAATATTTGATGTTGTCTTTGTACTATTTTTATTTATATATAGGGTTTAAATTATTTGCACATTATTGCATTCTGTTTTTATTTACATGTTACACAGCTCCTAACATTTTTGGAAACAGGGTTGTATAAAACATGAGAATCAACATTGCTGAATCACTGAACATTTGGTTGACGTGCAAATCATTAAATAAAAAAGTACCAACAAAGCATTTTATAGTCTAATTTAAAAAGGGGGAATGGTATCCCAAAAGAACCCCACAATGAACTGGGCTGAGCCCCAGATCTTTACATGCCCAATCAACACCCCTGAGCCTGTTTAGCTAAAATGAAGCATTAGATTTCCGGATTATGATCTTAAGATCAGTTAGTCAGGAGACTTAACTCTCCAGTTTCCTTCACTTTGGGTAAAACTTTTTCCCAAAACATTCAAAATAGTTTCCGAAATTTATTCGCTCTTATTATTATTCTAATAGTTCCAAATTCTATAGATGTTCTAAATTGTAAAATTATAAAAACTATACACTACAAGAGACATTTTATACAGTAGAAGTTCAATCAATCATATTTTCATTTACAGTCAGGGGTGGCGGTAGAATTATTTCAACACCCTGCTCACCTTATTCCCCTTTAGCAAAACCAGTCACAACATTAAAATATGCCAAAATTTTGCAAATCTTTGCATGCAGCTTTTCCATAGTGTATATCAAGCCATGAATATGAATATAGGCAACATGACTTCATATCAATTTTCTTTAAACAACTGGCTGAAATCTAAAATGAATCTTGGCTGTCAAAGCAAAACTCTGTAATGAACTGTTTTGGACTAGTATAGGACAGATACATCATTTAAAGCCCACTGAAATCTCCACAGACATGTTCCTTTATCCAACTACAAATCATGCAGTTCAAAGGATCTGGCTTTAATTCAAACTTTACCCAGGCCTAAAGATAGAACAGGAGGCTAAAGTGTTCTTAGCATACATCGTGAACACTCAGCCACTTTCTGCTTCACCTTCACCATTAAACCTTTACATTTCAGTGATTGGCAGTATCTTAACACACAAACGGAAAGCTATTAAATCAGTTTAATAGCGAAAAAATAATGTGCAGTAGGACATTGAGTTTTGTTTACACAGCTCTGTCGAATCAATCCCATTTGACAACTGCAGTTACTACAGCATAGCAGCTTTACTGCTGAAAAACTGAATGACTTGCTGTTCTGCTGCTCTTTTTTCCTGCCATTTTGAAAGCCTGATTTGCGTTTTTGGCCGAATAAACTTGACAGAACGGAAGACACATTGTCATTGGCACTGTATGTAAAATAAGTCTTTAATTATGATCTAATTAATGCATAGTTGTAATTAAGAATCTTTTAGTAAGCCTAAAAGTTTCCAGCTAAAGAGCTAGAATCATCCTAATCCCCACTCCTGTGTACATTAGTTTGATTTCAGTCCCAGAGAGCAAACAGTCATTGAATTCATGTTAAATAAACATTAAATCCTCACTGTTAACTTCATTGACTGAGTGTTCTAATCTAATGTTGATCCTTAATCACTTTTGAAACCTGAACTAGTGCTGAAACAACATCAATGCTACTGCTCTACTATGAATCAATGTATATTCAACACCAACACTGCCAACGTTACAAGCTGGTGACTTTCATCCTGTGGTCAACTATAAATTAATGTATTGTAGCGAGTTCAAAAAACATTTGCATGTTAATTCCAGGTTTTGTTCTCCAGTATTTTATCACTGGGTTTATTTTGATAAGGACTTTTATTTGAGCGGGCGGGACTAGGAACCTCCACAGGGAGCATGGTGTGTGCAGGAACAGCTGAGAGAGGTAAATGTGAGCTGAGGCAGAGAGCAAACTGTTAGAGACAAACTCTGCTTATGTACGATGTGGCTGTAACCAGCAACAGCTGGACAATTAAGCAGCATGCCTTGTGTGAAAACGGTGTCTCTTTTAATGGTGGTGAACACTACAGTATATTCAAAGTAGTTGTGTCCAGTGTTAGAAGTTGCCAACTTAAATTGATAACAGTGATCCAATACAATGATGATTCTGATGGAAGATTTTGAATCAATTATGGATCAATATCACCCTGCTATGCTAAGACCAGCCTAAACCAGTTTAGACAAGCATAAACCATCTTAGACCAGCTAAGACCGGCCCAAACCAGCTTAGACCAGCTCAGACCAGATATGACCAACTTAAACCAGCTTAGAACAGCTTAGACCATCTTAGACCAGCATAAACCAGTTAGGCCAGCTTAGACCAGCATGGCTCAATCAAACAAGGGTCGTAATCAGAATCATAATACAATTGATTTATAAAACAGTGTAAAGCAGAAACTAGAGCACTGTTTCAGTTTTTGAAGGAAAGCTTTTATTTATAAGGCAAAGTTTCACACATTTCAGCACTGAAACACATTTAACACATCTAACTGACTGCTGTGCTAAATGATCCGATCTTAGTGAAGCGGAGGTGCATTTGTGAGGTCACAGGTCAGAGCATTGGTCTGCGCTCACTGTCTTGCGGACGGTAGGCTGGGAGTCCTTGGTGGCCTCACAGGTCACTGTGTTCTTCAGCCACTGCTGCTGGCTGAGGGTCAGGGTGCTGCTCCAGCTGTAGAGGCCGTCGTTCTTCTGCAGAAGCGCAGGGCTGTGACTGACCCCCGACTCCAATGAGTCACCGCCCACCTTCCAGCTCAGCTTCCAGTCTGAGGGGAAGCCTCCGCTGCCCACACAGACCAGAGTGGCCTTCTCCTGATCCTGCTCCACGCTGGACGGGGGCAGCACAGTAAGGGTGGGTGCCGTGTCACCTAGGAGACACACATACACAGTCTAAAGCTCTGATAGGTGGAGACAGCTGTCAGTCATTCAGCCCAGAGAAACAGGTGGAGTCGCCACAGGAAGACACTGTGTTTCATTTCTCTCAAACCACACAGAGCAGAACTGAGTTCAGTCAAGCATAAAAACACATTCAAACTGCAGCCTGTTTATTTCAAATATATCTGACCTGAATTACAATATTTCATAAATGATATTGTGTCCTGAACGTATTACTGTTGGACTTTAATAAAAGCATTAAGAACAATGTGCAGTATTTTCTACATAAATAACCCACTTTTCACAAATCCATCTTATCACTGATTGAGCAGTGAATGTAACATTAATATACTGATTACGCAATAAATACTGATATTGAAAAAGTAATAATAACATAAAAATAAAATCTAAAATGTAAAACTGTGTTATAGAGCTCAATCATACATGTTCAATAGTTTGGAATCACTTGTTATAGTAAATTAATTTTCTTAGTTTATGCTGCACTGTATTTTTAGAGGTTTTATTCAACATTTCTAGATTTCTGTAATATCTGGTCATTGTCTAGTCACGTTAACTTTTGTGTCGAGTTATCTGTTCGAGATTTGATCTTTTAATGTAAGATCAATTCTAGATGTTAATTTCATTATAGCTTTATTCTCGATGTCATGCAGCTTCAGTTATTTTAGGATCTTCTACAGCTCTGTTTATCATTCTGGACACATTCAATATTTCTTCATTTTTATTTACAGCTTCATCGCATTTTATGAATTGTGTTTTCAACAGAAGCAGATTAGAATCGGTTACTAGACAAACCATTTGCTTTTATATTGTTGAAAAATGATTCTAGTCGTTGAAACAGCAACAACTGTATCCAAAAATTTGAAGACCCCCATCCTCCACATAGAATATGCTTAAATATGATATGGTTCTGCACATTTTAATGCATAATTACTGTTTATTATCTAAATTAAACATTAATAAAAGTAGAAAATATGGGTTCCACAACTGTTTTCAAGTTTTAATCCCCCCTAATATCTTAAATTCAGTGAATAAACAGTAGCTGTGCATTAAAATGTGCATTAGTGTGTCATTCGGCCAGGGACGCCCAGACTTTTGCACACAACTGCATAAGCTGTTATAGTCTTTTAAAGAAATGCCTGCATGTCTGTTATCTTTAGTAACATCTACACTAGATTAAAGTCTGGACACTATTCAGAACTGGATTATTACACAAGGTGAACTTTTAACTGAGAAAGACTGACACTTCAAAATAAGAGCGTCACTGTAAAAACCTCAACACTGAATAAATATTAAACACATATTGAACAGTTTTCTCCTCTCATCTAGTTCTACAACAGACCCAAGAAATGACTGATTCTGGATGGATTATGTTGCTAATAAAGAAAGTTAGTTACTCACGTCCAACTGACAGTTTGGTTCCTCCACCGAAAGTCCACCACAGTGATACAAACTCATTCAGCAGCTGTACAAAAACCTCCTGCTCTAAAACACCACACTGTTCACACAGTGCAGCCTCACTGTGCTCAGTAATGAGGGGAAAAACAGAGCTCAGCTCTCAGTTTACATGATGAAGATGCACTGAAATAGAATACTTTACTATTTATTTATTATTTTTATTCTTTGTTTAATTATTTTTGCCTTCTTTTATTTAGTAGTTCACTAAATGCAGAGCTGAACATCATTCTCAAACACTTTAGTCTGAAATCTTTCATTAGAAGGTAAAAATTCATTACGAGTTAAAATTAGAAGTTAAAGTTTACTTACTAACCAGAAACCTTACAGAGTCAACACTGACATCTAAATACTGGAATAAATGTTCAAAAAACTATCACTCAATCAGAATAAGACAAATAGTTCCTCTATTTCTCCAACAGACTCACAGAAAACAAGACTACAAACACACTCAGACAATGTTTTTAGAGGAATTAACTCACTGCTATTGTCGCTTCCCTTCACAATGATAAACAGAGTGTAGAAAAGGGCCAAACTTATCAAATGAAGGCCATTTATTCACTGAACATTATGAGATCGCCCCCCCTGGTGGTTATGCAGAAGAACCTCACACTGGTTTGATAAGGGATTAGTTTAGTTCAGTGATTGTAAAGAGAGCTTATCAGCCAAGATTTGACTAAAATACTAAATCTTAACTTTAGGCCAGTGTAAGACTCTGGAAAGGTGTAAAGAGTTGTTAGAAAGGAAAAGTAGCCAATTATGAATCAGTTGGTTTTATGACTATATAAAGACTTTAAAGAAACAACATGTAATATATTTTCTGTAGTAAATCATAAAATGACCATTATATGTCATCAGAGATTAAGAAAACATGCTAAATTGAATTCCTGGCTTCTCCGACAGCAGAGCTACAGCCAATTTCCATTCTGGAGTGGAAAGTCTGTTTGTGTTTTGGTCTGTGATCCCAGTCATTGCCTATTTCTTAGTACCATTTCAACACCTGGCAATACAAAATACTGTTCTACACAATGCCTGCAATTACAAATGTCCACCAGAGGGGTCTCCAAATCCCCAAAACGTACACAGTGCAGCTGTAAGTGAAACATAATTTAAATTCTCACGTCTGTCCCTCTTTATTACATCACAATATCTGAGCGTTCTAGAACTCTCTGTGATCATCAGCCACTTCCATCTTGTAAAAAAAGAGAGACATAAGCACTGGAAAAGGCTGAAGAGAGATTTTGAGTAATTAAATCCATAAAGTACTTTATATGGACAAACAGCTGAGTTGTGATTGTCATTTCATGAAAATAAAAGAAGCAGAACTGTAAAAATCTTTATACCACAACTCACAGTTATAAATGAAAGAGAGCAAAGAGGGTGAATTCAACAAAAACGGCCAACAACAACCTACTGACAGAAGTAACATTATTTCTATTATTTTAATTAGAAGAGTGAACGATGCAGTGCAGATCAGATGATCTACAGAAGTGAAATTTGTGTTGAAGTTCTGTCATGAAGATATTTACATAGACAGGAGACACGTTGCTCTGAGTGCTCCATGCTTCAGTGCTCTGGGAGAGTTTATAGTGCTGTGAGTTTAACACTTCATGACTGAGAGCTGCTACAGCAACTTCTTCACCCACAGCAGCCATGACTTTAATCCCCATCGTCATCTGGACACTGATCTTCTGGACTCAAGGTCAGACACCGTTTTGATTTTTAGAATGACCTGCCCTAGAGGTACTTTTACAATAAGTACTGTTTGCATGGTTTTATGAGTCTAACATGAAAATCCTGATATTTATTTCTATTTTTCCAGAGTCCACAGGTCAGGTGACTGTAACTCAGACTCCTGCAGTGAAAATCTGCTCTTCCAGGAGACACAGTCACCATCAACTGTAGAACCAGCCAGGCAGTGTATTACCACAGCTCAAATGGTCACTACTTATACTGGTATCAGCAGAAACCTGGAGAAGCTCCTAAACTCCTGATTAAATTTGCGAATCAGCTTCAGTCTGGTTTTCCAGCTCGTTTTAGTGGCAGCGGATCTGGAACAGACTTCACTCTGACCATCAGTGGAGTCCAGCCTGAAGATACAGGAGATTATTACTGTCAGAGTTTTCATTATATCAACAGTAACTATCTGTTCACACAGTGATACAGAGCCGTACAAAAACCTCCCTCAGTCTGGCTGTACAGAGGCTGCACTGCTGCAGTGGGACCTCCTGCAGGTGCTGGAGTTGGAGGCTGTGAATATATATGAATATTTACTAAACTAGAATTTATTCATTTATTTATTTATTATTGCTTCTTTTAATTAGTTGCTACTGAATCCAGAGCTAAACATCATTCTTGAACACTTTAGTCTTTCATTAGAAGTTAAAAATTTATTCTTAGTTAAAATTAGAAGTTAAAGTTTACTGACTAACCAGAAACCTTACAGAGTCAACACTGACATCTAAATACTGGAAGAAATGTTCAAAAAACTATTATTCCTTAAACACAAATCACTCCATCAGAATAAGACAAATAGTTCCTCTATTTCTCCAACAGACTCACAGAAAACGACTACAAACACACTCAATGTTTTTAGAGGAATTAACTCACTGCTATTGTCGGTTCCCTTCACAGTGATAGACAGAGTGTAGAAAAGTGCCAAACTCATCAAATAAAGGCCATTTATCTACTGAACATTATGAGATCGCCCCCTGGTGGTTATGCAGAAGAACCTCACACTGATTTGCTGAAAGATTAGTTTAGTTCAGTGATTGTAAAGAGAGCTTATCAGCCAAGATTTGACTGAAATACTAAATCTTAACTTCAGGCCAGTGTAAGACTCTGGAAAGGTGTAAAGAAGTTAGCAATAGTAATTTAGGAAGGAATAGTAACTAGTTATCAATCAATTTTGTTTCATCAGTACATAAAGACTTTAAAGAAATAATATGTAATATATTTTCTGTACAAAATCATAAAATGACCATTATATGTCATCAGAAATTAAGAAATCATGCTAAATTGAATTCCTGGCTTCTCCGACAGCAGAGCTACAGCCAATTTCCATTCTGGAGTGGAAAGTCTGTTTGTGTTTTGGTCTGTGATCCCAGTCATTACCTATTTCTTAGTACCATTTCAACACCTCAGGTTGCCAGATATGAAACAAATTGGCAGGCAAACACAGAGAGCTGTAGCCATGGAAGCAAGCTAACGAATAAACTCTATCCTGACCTAAAAAGACTCTGCATCCTCCTAAAAAGCTCCATGACCAGAGACGTAGTAAAACGTGAGTAAATATTGGTGATGTATTTAAAAGATGGAGACAGCTTAGAGCCCAGAAGGACTTTAAGACGGTTGCCTAGTTGGTTGATTTTCTCCTGAGCAGGTGAGCATTGAGCTCCAGCTGAGGTCAGCTAACCTTAACTAATTCATCACGGCTGCTTGTAGGAATGAGCATTTTAAGTCATTTTAACATTTGAGTACTCGGATTCATGCTCTGTGGTCCATGTGCAGCTGGGTTATCAAGGCAGATGAGGCTGAAGTTGGTCTTCTTAGTTGTGCTAGCATGTACAGGCTAGGCTAGTGAAGCTAGCATGTACCGCCAATGTGCCTTAAATCTCATTCTCTCATAGTTTACGCTGTTTTAGTGTGAGTCG